ATGAGCTGTGCCGCGTGTGCGGGGACAAGGCCTCCGGCTTCCACTACAACGTGCTCAGCTGTGAGGGCTGCAAGGGCTTCTTCCGGCGCAGTGTGGTCCGAGGCGGGGCCAGGCGCTACGCCTGCCGGGGCGGCGGAACCTGCCAGATGGACGCCTTCATGCGGCGCAAGTGCCAGCAGTGCCGGCTGCGCAAATGCAAGGAGGCGGGGATGAGGGAGCAGTGTGAGTGCCGGGGCGGGAGCCGCGCTAGCCGGGCCGCTGCCCAGCCCTGGGGCCTCTGCTGAGGCCCGTGTCTCCCGATAGGCGTCCTCTCCGAAGAACAGATCCGAAAGAAGAAGATTCGCAAGCAGCAGCTGCAGCAGCAGTCGCCCGCGGGGCCGGCGGGCCCCAGCAGCTCAGCCTCTGGGCCCGGGGCCTCCCCTGGAGGGTCTGACGGAGGTGGCCCGGGCTCCGGGGAAGGCGAGGGTGTTCAGCTGACAGCTGCTCAGGAACTAATGATCCAGCAGTTGGTGGCCGCGCAGCTGCAGTGTAACAAGCGCTCCTTCTCTGACCAGCCCAAAGTCACGGTACTGCCCCTCCCGCCGCCGGGCCGCTAGCCCTGAGCCCCGTGGGACGGCCGTGAGCCCCGTGGGGTGGAGCGCGCAGGGCAGGAGGGAGCCAGGCTCCATAGGGCAGGGCTTTGCAGACGAGGGTCTCCCAGGGCGCGCTCTTTGCCTCCAGGTGTCCCCACAGCCTTGGGCTCAAGGGAGGAGGCCGGAGAGTGACCCTGGCCCCTGTGTCCCCAGCCTTGGCCCCTGGGTGCAGACCCCCAGTCCCGCGATGCCCGCCAGCAGCGTTTCGCCCACTTCACGGAGTTAGCCATCATCTCAGTCCAGGAGATTGTGGATTTCGCCAAACAGGTGCCTGGCTTCCTGCAGCTGGGCCGCGAGGACCAGATCGCCCTCCTGAAGGCGTCTACCATTGAGGTAATGGGCGGCCTGGCCCTTCCTTCCTGCCCACGAGGAAGCCCAGGGTTAAGCCTCAGGACAGCTGTCGGGAGCCTGGTGATGAGCCACATTCCTCCAGTTGTTGCCCTTGTGGGGAAGATACCCTACAGGGGGATGTGAAAATGCTAAACAGGTCATGCGAGCCCCCCATGAGCCAAGGAGAAAAAGGAAACGGCCTGAGGCCGAGAAAAATTGAGGATTGGGCTGGAACGCCGCACTTTAAAGAATGTGGTGCTGGGAAGGCTGTTCGGGAGAGTTGACATTTAAACCAAAGCCACCGTAACAAGTCGGCATTGAGTTCATAGCATATACCGGGCTCCATTCCAAGTGCTGGGTGTGTGGCAGTGAACGAAACAGTGCGTGTCCTCGTGCCTCGAAACCAGCTGGGGAGGGAAGCCTAAGTGGAGGGTGCCGTGGGCACTAAACCCGCAGGAGAGAGAGCTTGGAGTGCCTGACATGCTGACTGCAGGCTGGGGTGGCTGAAGGAACGGGCAGGGGCTGAGGGGCGAGGGATGATCCTGGCGAGATTAGGTCCCCCCCACAGGCCAAGAGAGGAGAGACCGGTGGCTAAAGGGTCATAGGGACTCCTGGAGCCCCTGCCCCTGCCTACTCCTCTCCCTGCTGCCCCCAGATCATGCTGCTAGAGACGGCCAGACGCTACAACCACGAGACGGAGTGCATCACTTTCCTGAAGGACTTCACCTATAGCAAGGATGACTTCCACCGCGCAGGTACGGCAGAGTGGGCTGGGAGGGGGCAGGGCTGGTGCCCCTGCTGGGCCCCTACTGGTAGGAGACCTCAGGCCACCTCATTCTTGTCAGAGCCTCCATTCCTTTGTTTCCAAAGCCGGGTGAGCCAGCCTCGTGTTGAGATAAGGGTATCTGCCACGTCTCCGCAGTGGGATGCAGTGCAGGACGAGGCAGAGGGGTTTCTGCTCTCACACAGGACATTTTAATACGAATTAAGAGAAGACACTCCTTCCTCCCAAAACCTAGTGTCACTACAGGGAGGCTGGATCTCAGTCCATTGTGAAGTATGCAGCCTACCCAACTGTACAGGGCAGTCCTGGTCCCTACCCTCCAAGGGCACTTACCTGGGGATGTGACCTAGGCAGTGGGCTTCTGGAGGAAGTGCAGTTGAACTGAGGCCTGAGGCAGTGAGATATGTCAACGATTAGGAAAAGGGAATTGGGGAATAGCATTGCCCACCAGGGAACCCCATGTACAAAAAGGCTGTGTTTCTTCAGTCTCAGTTTTCTCTGTAAGTCCTGCTCTCTCCCATCATTTTTTCCTGGGGCACTTGTCTGTACTCCCACATGTGTGTTCCTAACCCTGTCTTCTTCCCTTCCTCTAATCCCTGACCATCTCAACCTGCTTTGAGTATGAGCTTGATAGGGGAGCACTGGGTGGGGAGAATGTTTCTGGCAGGGGGCTCAGCATGTACAAAGGCCCTGAGGTGAGGGAAGAGCTGGAATTACAGGGAGGCCCAGGCATCTGGAGCACAGGGAGATGGGGCTGGAGAGAAAGTTGGGGTCCTACCACTTCCCTCCATGCTCTGCCACTGTCCAGCATCCCTCCCGGGAACATTGCCGGGTGCCCTCACTGGGTTCTCCAAATGTGTCTGTTCACACAGCAGTCAGAAGGGTCCTGTTCATACCAAGTCAGCTCATGTCCCTCCTCTGCTCAGTACCCTGCATGGCTCCTGACAAGCCAGAGTCCTTGCCATGGCCCACAGGCCCTGCAGGGACCTCTCTGCACTCTTCTCCCATTGCTCACCCTCCTTCTGCCACATTGGCTTCCTTCCTTTTGTTTGAACCCACCAGCTGTGCTCCCACTTCAGGGCATTTGTAGTTGCTGGTCCCTCGGCCAACACGGGTGACCAGCTCATCCTGGTTCACGTGGGAGCTTCATAGTTTCAACCTTGAAAGTCTTGAGGCCCAGACAGCTGCCCAGTTCCGGGCAGAACAGACAGGTGGTACCCACCTGGAGCACTCACACATCCTCGTGACTCGTCGCTTCTCCTCCTTTGGGTTGTCCCTCAAAGGTCCCCCTACAGTGAGGCCTTCCTACAGCGTCACCTGGCAATGGCCACCTTGTCTGAGATGTTGATTTGGTTCTCGATGCCCCTGTTACCCCTCTGTGAATTAACCTTGATCCAGCAGCACCCATTCCTCTGACAGGCTGAATGGTTTACTTACGTGTTTGCCTGTCGTCTGTCCTCTCAACCCCCAAATGCAAGTTCCACAGGAGGGGAGGCTTTGTCTTGGAAACAGCTCTACCCGGGGGCCTGGCACATAGTAGGTGCTTGATGAAGTTTGATGACTGAATTAATGAACCACTCTTGGGAATAAGGTTAGGCTTTACTCTAAGCCATGGAAGCCACTTCAGGGTGATGCAGTGTGACCTAGCTTTAAAAATCCTTCCTTTTCCTTAGGGGAGGTACAGGGAAGGTAGGATGGGGTAGTAGGAAATACTGAATAAATGTTCACTCTCGTTACTCATTCCTTGATTCAGGTAAGGGCTAGGGCACACTTACCGTGTGCCGGGCGCTCGTCTAAGTGGGGACACAAGTGAACAGACGTGACAAGAACATTAGAATTACCGCTGTTTTTTTCACCCTGCTGACTAAGCAGCGTCAGGCCCCGGGCGTGGGGCCAGTTTGAGGCTGGGGGAGCTTATCAGGCCAGGCCTCCTGCCCCCACAGGCCTGCAGGTGGAGTTCATCAACCCCATCTTCGAGTTCTCACGGGCCATGCGGCGGCTGGGCCTGGACGACGCCGAGTATGCCCTCCTCATCGCCATCAACATCTTCTCAGCTGACCGGCCCAACGTGCAGGAGCCGAGCCGCGTCGAGGCCCTGCAGCAGCCCTACGTGGAGGCCCTGCTCTCCTACACGCGCATCAAGAGGCCACAGGTATGCGGCTCCTGGAGCTACCCAGAGCCCAGCCCCTCCTGGGGCCTTGGCGGGGACAGGAAGTCCCCACCCACATGGAGTCAGCCTGGGGCTGAGGTCTTGCTTCCTCATCGGAGCCCGGCTCGCCTGGCAGCACTCTGAACTCTGGTTGGTGTCCTCTCCATAGAGTCTGTCCTCAGGCCTCTATCCCCGACCCAGGAGCCAGGCCTGGTGCAGGCATAGGGGTGGGAGGGCCCCGCACTCTGCCCGGCCACTCCCCACACTGCTGTCCTGGCTCAGCCCGGGGAGGGAGGCCCTCCTCATGGTCCAGGTGCGCTGACCAGAGCCTCACAGGGCGGGAGCCTGGCCAGCGCCCACCTTCCCCCTGTCCCCCTGCAGGACCAGCTGCGCTTCCCTCGAATGCTGATGAAGCTCGTGAGCCTGCGCACGCTGAGCTCTGTGCACTCGGAGCAGGTCTTTGCCCTGAGGCTCCAAGACAAGAAGTTGCCGCCTCTGCTGTCTGAGATCTGGGACGTCCACGAGTGAGGGGCCTGGCCACTCTGCCCCACAGCCCTGCACCCTCCAGCGAGTGGACATTGTCACCCCTTCCTCCTCCTGGAGTGGGAAGGGGCCAGGCCCGGGGTCCCACCTTGTGGCTTAGAGCACAAGCCCTGGCCCCACCAGCCCTCAGCCCTCAGATGAGCCCAGTTAGGGTCCAGGAGGCGCCCTCCCTGCCCACTGAGTCTTCCCGGGAGGGCTGGATGGGTCATAGACCCCAACCTCTGACTCTCCTAGCACTACCAGCTGCCCTCCCCACCCAGCTTACACCTCAAGCTCACTGCGCAACGCACCTTGAACAGAGGGATTGGGGGGCCTGTGGCTCTCCCCTACAGCCTGAGAAACCACAGGCCCCCTCTCTCTGTTCCTTTTATTTAATAAAAACTAAAAAAAGACAAAAACAGGAAAATAAAGTAGGACTAGAAATCTGCCCTGAGCCAGAGTGAGTCTAGGATATATACAGGGGATGGGCTGTTAGGGTCTTTATTTTTTTTTTTTTAAGATTTTATTTATTTATTTGAGAGAGAGAAAGAGCACAAGAGGGGGTAGCGGGAGAGGGAGAAGCAGACTCCCTGCCGAGCAGGGAGCCCGATGCGGGACTCAATCCCGGGACTCCAGGATCATGACCTGAGCCGAAGGCAGTCGCTTATCCAACTGAGCCACGCAGGCGCCCTGTTAGGGTCTTTATTGACACCAGCCCCCCGAACCTTTACTAGGCTGGTGGAAGGTTCAGGGTGATGTGACTGGGCTCTGCAAGGGGGTGGGGGGGCATTGCAGGAGAGGCTGACAGCCTTGGTGTCCTCTCCATGTACAAGGTGAGTTGGAGCCTATTGAAGGACAAAGGGAATTTCAGTGGATGGAGGGACCAGGGCTTTCACTAGGCAAAAAATACTTGCTGAAGCCGCTTGTGGGCTAGGAACTGTGCTGGCCCTTGTGGGGATGCAGATGTTATTCATCCAACAAATACATATGGGGCACTTATTATGTGGCAAACATAATTTTAGGCACTGGACACATGGGAGAACAAGATAAAAATCCTCAGAGGTGGCTACCAGGCAGGGCTGGCAGTGCGGGGATGGTAGGGGCCAGCTAGAAGGTGAGAGAATAGGGGCTTTAATGGGGGGCAGCACGCAGCTGTGTGGGACCTAGAGGTAGAAGGCAGGGAAGTCCTCACACAGGATATCCTGACCCATCTGGGATCTAAAGCAAGACGAGGGGGCGTGGCCCCCAAATTGAGGGAAGGGCACATGCCAAGTCTGGAAGGTGAGCGGCTCAGGTGAATTCAGAGTCAGGTCGGGCTGTGGAATTCTCTTAGTTCCTCCTCCGCCTGGGCCAGGCCCTGAGCGGTCACCGCTGTGAGCAGGATGCACAGCCCTGGCTAAGGGTGAAGGGGGTGTTGCTTGGAGGGATGGGCTGGGTACTGAAAGGTGTGTTTTAGAGCGAGTTGGGGGGGGGGTGACGGAAGTGACTAGTTACAAGCCGTCGTCCCATTCCAAGCAGTCCGCCTGGCGCCCCCAGGTGTAGCCGCCCTGCGCGGAGTCTAGTTCACGGATGGGGAAACTGAGGCCGTGAGACAGGAGGCCGACCAGACCTCCCCTCCACGGGGAGGGAAGACGTCGGGTGGCCAGCAGGACAGCAGCCAGGAAGTCCTCCCGACGTAGCCTCCGGCACAAAGCACGTGGGCAAGCAGAGGAGTCGCGCGCCGCGCCGCCCCGGCGGGCGGGAGGCGGGGCCGGAAGGACAGGTGGCGGGCCGCGCAGCTGCGCGCGCAGATTGTGGAAATCCGCGAAGGTATCGTAAGGAGGGGGCGTGGCTTGGGAGGAGTTGCACTCCCTCAAGACGGGGCGGGGTTTGGCGAGAATTTACAGGAAATGGAAAGAGGCCACCTGCCAATTTGGAAAGATGGGGCGTGGCCTAGCCCCAGTCGACGGAGGGGCGCGGCCCCGAGCCCCTGTGGGGCGTGGTCTCGCCCTCCTTGGGCGGGAGGGGCGTGGCCCAGCTCCGCGCCCGGTGGCTCTGAGCCTGCGCGCGCCGGAGTCAGGGTTCACGGCGGCGTCGGCTGTGGCGGGAAACGCTGTTTGAAGCGGGTGAGTAAGGGGAGTAGGGCGATTGCAGGGATTCGGCCCGACAGGGAAGGAGGATGGAGGAGCTGGGCATGGAGGCCTGAGGAAGGGGGGCGAGGGGCGAGGAGGCGGGAGGGATCCCTTTGGCTCTGGGGCGCGCGGTACACGGGCAAGGGCCGGTGGTCGTGGGAGCGTGCGCCAGGTCGCGCGGGAAGGTGACTGGGTCTGGGGGGGCCCTCGACGTGCGGGGGGCGCTTGTGCCGGGCGCCTGGCCCCCGGGGCGAGCTGGGGGATGCACCCTGGAGGGTCTTTGGGGCGACGGGATCCCGGACGCATTGGAGGACTGAATTGGTGCACATGGGGGCATGGTGTCATCCTTTATTCACTAAATATTGAGTACTCTGTGCCAGGCACTGTTCTGGAAGCAAAGGCTACAGCCCGAACAAGTCAGAGAAAGTCCTTGCTTGGGGAGAAGACAGACCGTAGACAAGCGATAAGTAATAATGATAAAGCAGTACTTTCGGTGTTTGATATATTATACGAAGTGAGATAAAACAGGGTAGACAGCCTCTTTAGCTGGAGTGATAAAAAATCGCCCCTCTGGGAAAGTGACATTTGACAGAGAAGTTGGCCGTGTAAAGAAAGGCCTGAACAGAGAGACCATCAAGTGCAAAGGCCCTGAGGCAGGAAGAAGTTTGGTGTGTTTGTAGCTGGATCCAAGAAAACAGGTGACGTTGGAAGACATGTTGGGAACCCGATCCTTGTAGAGGTTGGTGTGGGGTTTGTCTTTTATTCTAGCTTCCCCAGGGAGCCATGAAAGGTTTTGAGCATCAGAGCAACAGGACCCGCCTGCATTTTGAAAAATTGACAGGCTGCTGAGTGAAGATGGGATTGTAGTGGGAACAAGAGTGGAAAGAGGAAGGCCAGTTAGGAGGCAAGAGGGGATAGTAGGTGGCTCAGACTGCAGTGCTGTCAGTCTCAGGTTGTCTTTGGAGTTTGAGCCAGCAGGGTGTAAGGAAGAAGAGCTCAGATGGCTGGGATATGTGGTTTGAGCAACAGGTTGGATGGAGAAGGCTGAGGCGGAACGGGTTTGGGGTGCCACTCTGAGGTGGCAGTGAGTGGGCAGAGTGATGTCAACTTCTCAGCTTCATAGCCCCACTCGTGCCAGGAACCTGTGGTTACCTGTCTCTCCCCCTCCTTGCTGTATGTCACCACCCAAGCCTCCTGTCCCCTAGAGAGGTTCCTTACTCACTGACGGCCTTTGCAACGCTGTGTCCTTCTCATGCAATGCTCTTTCTTCTCTTCAGTCCTTCTTTCAGTCAGCTGCTCTTATGGCAGCCCCTTTGCTGGGCACTGGGAAGCCGATGATAATTCAGTTTGCTTGAGGGGAGGACAGGAGATCTCAATCCAGAGTGCTACGAACCAGTACGAGGCAGCACTAGTCTTGGGGAGGCGAGAGAAGCGAAAGGGGCTCAGGGAAGACTTGTAGAGTTGGTGATACTTGAGAGGAGTCTAAACTGACACAACTCGAAGTGGCTTGTGTTGCAGGCACTGTGCTGAGTGATGCTGGGACCCCAACTTGAGCGAGACCCTGACCCCTGTTTTTGAGGAGCTCACATTCTGAAGCAGTTCCGGGTGCAGTGGGTGCCCCCAGGGGCTGCCGCGTGTCCTGGAAGAGTTTAACTGGAGCTGAGTCTCTGTGGATGCAGAGGAGTTAAGTGGCTGGAAAAAGGGGCGATCTCATCCAGCAAACACTTCCCAAAGCCAGGCCCTGTGCTGGACAACGTCGAGGACCCAGAGAAGCGGCAGACCCTGCCCTGTCCTGAAGGGGTTCTGTCTGGTGAGGGAGTCAGACACAGGCCCAGATGGTCCCTGGCCTGCCCCAAGGGTAGCAGGAGTCAGGGAGGCCCACGGGAGGGACAAGGCCAAAGCATGGAAAGTGTGTAGTTTCCTGGAGGGCAAGAGCGAATAGTTACTTTTGTGTGTGAGCCAGGATACAGGGGGTGAGCAAGCAGAGGAATCCATCTCCAATCTGTGCCCCCTGTTGGACAGAGAGCAGTTCACCCGTGGAGGCTGGCAGTCTGCGATGCTGGTTAACAGTGGGGCTCTGGAGCGAGCCTGCCTCTCTTTGAACCCTCCAAGCTAGCTGTGCCACCTTGGCAGGTAGCTTCACCTCTGGGCCTTGGTTCTGGTCATTGTGTTGGAGGGTAACTTTTGCTTACCTTGGAAGTTTTTGTGAAGATTCTGTGAGTTCCTTCATTCTTCATTCGGTAGATGTTAATATATAGAGCACATCCTCTGCCCCAGGCCCTCTTCAGGGTGCACGAGACATAGCAGGAAACAAGACAAAATCTTGGTCACACAGTTTTTCATTCACATTGTGGGACAGACATTGAACAAGATAAATAAGCAGTGGTTCTCAGAATCAAGTGGCCTTGGAATCCCTGCAGGGCTTGTTACCCCAGATTACGAGACCGCACCCCCAGAGGGTTTGATTCTGTGGGGTCTGACCCTGAGCATTCCAACAAGTTTCTACCTGAAGCTCAAGCTGCAGGTCCGGGACCATGCTTTGAGAACGCTAAGAACTGATACAGTGCATCCCACAGCGATAAGTGCCATCTGGAAAAAGGAAGCAGAGAAAGGGGTTGGAGAGTATCAGCATGGGGCACTGGAGATTGTCCTTTTAGACAGGACTCACTGGGGGCACCTGACTGGCTCAGTCAGTGGAGCATGCAACTCTTGATCTCAGGGTTGTGAATTCGAGCCCCACGTTGGGTGTAGAGATTATTTAAAAGTCTAAAAAAAAAATAAATAAACAGGCCTCACTGAGAAGGTAACATTTGAGCAAAAACCTGAAGGAGGAGAGGGAGACCATGGGAACGTCTGGGGAAGAGTATTTGGTAGAGCAGAGGGAACAGTCTGTGCAAAGGTCCTGAGGTAGGACCAAGCCTGGAATGCTTAAGGAACAGAGAGGAAACAAGTGGCTGGAGCCAAATGAACAAGAGGGAGAGGGCAGGAGATAGTGTCTAAAAAGGAAGGGGGTGATTGCACAGGGTCCTGTGGGCCACCCTGCGGACATTGCTTCAGCTCTGCATGAGATGGGACCCAGGGGCAGGTTCTGACAGAGGAGGGATGGGATCATCTGACCTATTCGTACAGGATCCCTCTGGCTGCTGTGTGAAGAATACACTGATGGGGGCAGGGTGGAATGAGGGACACCCTGGGGGGAGGCCCTTCATTCATTCAACAGATGGTTCTTAAGCACCTACTGTGTACCAGACCCTGCGGCAGACTCTGGAACGCTCCGGTGATAAAACCAACCAGATCCCTGCCCGCTCTGGGCTCGTGGCTTGTCTTCCAGCAGGGGGAGACAGACCAAAAGCAATGCACAAAAGAAAGTTGCAGAAAATCTTAGCCAGAGGGACCAGGCTGGGATCCGTGCAGGCGCTGGGAAGTGGTGAGACTCAGGTCTCGTAGAGCCTATGAGATTTGCTGGTGGAACAAGCATGTGGTCTAAGGGGAAGAGAGAAGCTGGAGTGACTCCAAGGTTGGTGACCTGATGGGAGCTGCCTTTTGCTGAACTGGGGGAGACTGGGAGGTGCAAGGAGCAGGTTTGCAGGGAGATGAGGGGCTTGGCTTTGGAGTGCAGGATGCCTAAGCAGACATCTTCATGGTGAGCAGCTGCCTCTGTCAGGCTGGGGCCCTGGGGAGCGGTCTGGGCCAGAATCAGGAAGGGAAGCCTGGTGAGCATAGAGGTGGCAGTGAAAGCGGTGGGATTGGGAGAGATGGGATGAGAACACCGAGGGAGGGAGCGTCCCAGAAACCAGCGTCTTCGCTGGGGCGGGGGGCGGGGGCGGGGTGTGCACCCAGCATTGTTGTCTCTTTGCCAATGGACGGTCCAGAAAGGGAGAGATCACATGTTTCCCCAGCTGCTGTCCTGTGCCTGGGCAACTGAGAGGACACACAGGGGCCTCTTTCCTTCTCATGCTACCTTGCCTGACTGTCCCTCCCACCACACGCTCCAGGTCCCTACCTGCAGCTCAGAACTCCGTGTGTCTCTCTGGCTGCTTGCGAGGCTAGAGCAGAGGCCTCCAGGCTTTTTCCTTCCTGTGAGATAAGCCTCCTGTAGACACAGTGCGCATTCAGAAGCCACAAAAGGAGAGTCTGTTCCAAGTCCTCCTCATACAAAACTCTTGTATGCACGGTCAGAGCAGCGCTACTCGTAATAGGCAAAAGGTGCAAACAGCCCCGATGTTCACTGACGGACGAAAGGATAAACACAACGTGATACAGCCACGTGGTGAGAAAGTATTCAGGCATGAAAAGGAACGAAGCACTGACCCATGATGCGTCATGGGTAGACCTTGAACACATTATCCTAAGTGGAAGAAGCCAAACACCAATGGACACGTATTCTAAGGTTCCACATCTAGGAAATGCCCAGAATGGGCAAATCCATAGCAACAGACAAAGTAGATTAGTGGTTGCTTTGGACTGGGAGAAGTGGGGTGGGGGTGATGGCCAAGTGGTGTGGGGTTTCATTTTGGGGTGATGAAAAGGTTCTAAGATTGGCCATGGTGATGGTCACATGAGCTCTGAATATACTAAAAGCCATTGAACTATACACCTGAAACGCATGGGTCATATGGTATGTGAATTCTATCTCAATAAAACTGTCCCGTTCTGTCCCCCCTCCCCCCTCCCCCGGGAAGCCAGTGTTACCAGTTTATTATCTATTTTTCCAGAATTAGGCATTGAGAACAGACATGCTTTGGGGTGCCTGGGTGGTTGAGTTGGTTAAGCATCTGCCTTTGACTCAGGTCGTGATCTTGGGGTCCTGGGATCGAGCCCCCTGTTGGGTTCCCTGCTTAGTGGGGAGTATGCTTCTCCCTCTCCCTCTGTCCCCCCCCAGAAATAAATGAAATCTTAAAAAAATAAAAAATAAGTTTCCTGCCCCTTCCCGCCCCCCCCCTTTCATGACGTTGACATTTTTGAAGATTCCCGACAGGTAGTTTTGCAGCCCAGTCCTTTGGTTTGTTTCCTAATGAAAGAATCAGGGCAAACATTTTTTAGACTTTTTTTTTTTAATACAAGAAGGTAACAGTGTAAGTAAGTACAACATTCTACACCTCGCTTTCTCTAACTATGGGTCTTCGAGAGCCCTCCACATCAGTACATAGAGCGCTTCCTCATTCCTTTATACAGCTGCATAATATTCCATGGAACAGAGTTAATGTAATTTATTTAAACAGCCCCCCAGGGGAGGACATTTAGGTGGTTTCCAGTCTTTTGTGATCGCAAACAATGCTGCCGGAAATAACCTCGTAAATGCAGATTTTCATATGTGATAGTATATCTCTAGCATAAACCCTAGATGCAGAATTGTGGCCTTCCAGCTTTCACGTTTTCATTGAGGTGGAATTTACATACAGTGAAATGCACATGTTCTCAAGTGGACAGTTGTAGGTAAATTAAAGATTTTATTTATTTATTTGAGAGAAAGAGCATGAACGGGGTTGGGGGCGGAGGGAGAGGGAGAAGCAGACTCCCCCGTTGAGCAAGGAGCCCGACGCGGGGCTCAATCCCAGGACCCTGAGATCATGACCTGAGCTGAAGGCACACTTTTTTTTTTTTTTTTTTAAGATTTTATTTTATTTCTTGACAGAGAGCGACAGCGAGAGAGGGAACACAAGCAGGGGGAGTGGGAGAGGGTGAAGCAGGCTTCCCGCCAAACGGGGAGCCCGATGCGGGGCTTGATTCCAGGACTCCCAGGACTCCGGGATCACGACCTGAGCCGAAGGCAGACGCTTAACGACTGAGCCACCCAGGCGCCCCTAGGTGCCTGAGGTTAACCATTTAGTACGTTCACAGTGTTATGCATCCACCACCTCTGTCTACTTCCAGAACGTTTCCATCCCCCCCAAAGGAAACCCCATGCCCCTGAGCAGTCATTCCCCGTTCCTCTGATGTGTACTGTGCGTCTGGCTGTTTCCATGCAGCATGTTTTCGAGATTCGTCCATCCTGCGTGTCAGTAGCTGCCTCCTGTCTAATGCTGAGGAGTATTGCAGTGGCTACCAACCCAGACATTTGCAACAACACATCCCCAGTCCAGAATTTCTCTGTGCTGTATTTGTTAAGGTCTAGGCTGAGCTGCTGTAACAGAGACCCTACAGCACAGTGGCCCAGGCAAGACACAAGTGTGTTTCTCCACACAACTGCCCTAAGGTAGGCAGCTCTGCCCCAGAAGGTTGTCGAGGGGCCTGGGTTCCTTCCGTCTTGTAGCCCTGCAGTCCCTGCAGTGTTGTCCATGTCCCCGTGGTCAAGGTCGGTCACCACCACTATATCCATGTTCCAGCCATCAAGAAGGGGGAAGAGGCTATAGAGGGAAGCTTCTTTTTCTAAGATTTTATTTATTTATTTGAGACAGAGAGAATGAGGGACAGAGAGCATGAGAGGGAGGAGGGTCAGAGGGAGAAGCAGACTCCCTGCCGAGCAGAGAGCCCGATGCGGGACTCGATCCAGGGACTCCAGGATCATGACCTGAGCCGAAGGCAGTCGCTCAACCAACTGAGCACCCAGGCGCCCCAATAGGTCTTCTGGTTTTGTTTTGTTTTTTTTTTTTAAAGATTTTATTTATTTATTTGAGAGAGAGAATGAGAGAGAGAGAGCATGAGAGGGGGGAGGGTCAGAGGGAGAAGCAGGCTCCTTGCTGAGCAGGGAGCCCGATGTGGGACTCGATCCCGGGACTCCAGGATCATGACCTGAGCCGAAGGCAGTCGCTTAACCACCTGAGCCACCCAGGCGCCCGAGGGAAGCTTCTTTTGAAGGCTGTCCCGGAAGTTGCACACCTCACAGTCATTCTTCCCATGAGATAACGATGTGACCATCCCTAGCAGTGCACCCTGGGAAATGTAGTCTTGGGTTGCGTTTCCTGTGGCAGCCTCAAGGCAAGAGGTTGGTTGCAAGAAGGACCAAAGGGAGATTGGGTATGGGGTTGGGTGGGGGCAGTTATGGGATCCAGAGGTGTTCACTGGAACCCAGGGCAGCTGACCTGTCCCCTCCCCACCCTCCCTCCCAGCTGGGTCTGAAGTCTGCCCTAGGTTCCTGTAAATCTCTCTCTAGGCCTGGATGCCAGGAGATGTGTACTTTTTAAAAACTTCTTTCTCTTTTTAAAATAATTTTAGGGGCGCCTGGGTGGCTCAGATGGTTAAGCGTCTGCCTTCAGCTCAGGTCATGATCCCAGGGTCCTGGGATCAAGCCCCACATTGGGCTCCTGGCTCAGCAAGGAGCCTGCTTCTCCCTCTCCCTCTGCCTCTCTCCCTGCTCATGCTTTCTCTCTCTCTCTCTGTATCTCTGTGTCTCAAATGAATAAATAAAATCTTTAAAAAAAATAAAAATAATTTTAAACTATGGGAAGATCAAAAGAATAATAATACAAAGAACACCTGTATACACCCTTTACCCAGATTACGTGTTTTAACATTTCTCCCTCTGCTTTTTTTTTTTTTAAGAATTTTTATTTATTTATTTGACAGAGAGAGAGAGAGAGCACAAGCATGGGGAGCAGCAGGTAGAGGTAGAGGGAGAAGCAGACTCCCCACCGAGCAGGGAGCCCGACGTGGGGCTCGATCCCAGGACCCCGGGATCACGACCCGAGCCGAAGGCAGACACTCAACCGACTGAGCCACCCAGGCACCCCCCTTTTTTTTTTTTAAACAGGTACTTCTTTCGTTTCCTAAGTGCCATGCATTGTGATGGCACTAACTGCCCCCTCCAAGGTATCACAGAACACAGAGCAGGTTTGAAACTCCCGCTAGGTTACAGATCACAACTACTTCCAAGTGGTCTTCACAGTTAAGAAGGGCATATGTTTCAGCAGGCATGGTCTTTTTGTTTTATGATTTGCACGTGCTCAAGCTTTGTTTTTCTCCTCTCTACACATATGCCACCCAAAAACTTTTTTTCAAAATAGCTTGCATGTATCATGGCTATTTACCCTTAAACAGTTGAGGATGTATTTTCTTAGAATATTCTCTTACTGAACCAGAGTGAAGTTACCAACCTGAATGGACTTAATTTGAATACGGTCTTTTGTCAAACCTACCAGAGGTTATGTACTTCCGTGGCAACATATCTTGTCAAAACGTGCCACAAAATAATTTTTTATATGTTGCAATTAAGAAAACATATAAACAGGGGCACCTGACAGGCTTAGTCAGAAGAGCACGCAACTCTTGATCTCAGGGTCGTGCGTTCGAGCCCCACGTTGGGCATAGAGATTACTTAAATTTAAAAAGTCACATTTATAAAAATACAACAACAACAAAACATATAAATGTGTAAATTGCAGCCTCCTTTTGGTTTTTTGTTGTGTTTGCTACTTTGGATCCTGGATGGGGAAGAGTACTATAAAGGGCATTTTTTGGAAAATGGACTCTTTGTTTATGTCGTTACTGAGTTGTTAAATGTCCTGGATTTGATCACACTGTGCTTGTTTAAAAGAATGTCCTGGGGGCGCCTGGGTGGCTCAGTCATTAAGCGTCTGCCTTCGGCTCAGGTCATGATCCCAGGGTCCTGGGATCGAGCCCCGCATCGGGCTCCCTGCTCGGCAGGAAGCCTGCTTCTCCCTCTCCCACTCCCCCTGCCTGTGTTCCCTCTCTCGCTGTGTCTCTCTCTCTCTGTCAAATAAATAAATAAAATCTTTAAAAAAAAAAAAAGAATGTCCTGAGTAGGGGGTGCCTTGGTGGCTCAGTCAGTTAAGCGTCTACCTTCAGCTCAGGTCATGATCTTGCGGTCCTGGGATCAAGCCCTGCATTGGGCTCCCCACTCAGCGGGGAGTCTGCTCGTCCCTCTCCCTCTGCCTCTCCCCCTGCTCGTGCACGCACTCTTTCTCTCTCTTTCTTTCTCTCAAATAAATAAAATTTTTAAAAAGAGAGCATGTCCTTGGGGTGCCTGGCTGTCTCAGTTGGTAGAGCATGTGACCCTTGATCTCAGGGTTGTGAGTTCAAGCCCCACGTTGGGTGTGGAACGTACTTAAAAAAAGGAAGAGAGAGAGAATGTCCTTGTCCTTCAGCAATACATGCTAAAGTATGCAGAGGTCAAGGGGCATGGTATCTATCTGACAGGCAACTAGCTCAAATGGCTTGGGAAAATAACGTAATGACGTGTGCATACTACATACAGGGGCTGATGAAACCAGTGTGGCAACAAATTGATACTCGGGGAATCTGGGTGAAGGGTATGCAGTTCTGCAAATTTGAAATGATTTCAAAAGAGAAAGGGCTTCTTGTTTTGTTTTGTTTTGAAGGGAGATGGGAAGCCTCTGAAGTGTTTTGGGCTGGGAAGGGACCAGATCAGATTTGTGTTTCAGGCCTGGGCAGGTGGGGAGACAGGTGGGCGACGGCATCAGAGACAGAGGTTTATGGGAAAGAAAGGGATGTGCTAAGGACCAAGTCTGTGGTGGGTGGAGGGCAAGCAGCCAGGTAAAGGGATGTGGAAGGTTTGAGTGTGTGAGGAAAGGGTTAAACTGAGGTGGGGAGTGGGCTGTAATTATAGTAACCAATAATTATTTGGCATGGCGACTGTGCCAGCACCCTGTGAGCCTGTGGGTAGAGAGTCGTGCGACTCCTGGGAATTAAAAGGCTCATGGTCATGGTGGGTGCATGGGGGGCCAGGAAGAAGACAGGAACCCTCCCCCAGCCCTGACTAGCCCAGCGGGATGGATGGCAAGCGGCGGCCAGGCCCAGGGCCTGGGGTGCCCCCGAAGCGCGCCCGTGGGGGCCTCTGGGATGAGGATGAGCCATGTCAGCCATCCCAGTTCGAGGAGGAGCTAGCGCTGATGGAGGAGATGGAGGCAGAACACAGGCTGCAGGAACAGGAGGAGGAGCTGCTGCAGCCGGGCCTGGACGGAGCAGTGGATGGTGAGGCCTGAACCCCCTGCACCCCCACACCCATCCTGCCTGGGAACCACGTCAGCCACAGAGCTCACCTGTAACCTCTGGCCTCTGGCCCACACTGAGCCCCCACAGAGTGCTGACCTCTGACCCTGTGCCAGTATGCCACCTTTGTTGCCTGCAGCTCCTGCTCTGACCTTGACCCCCTAATCTCTCCTGAGTTACCTGCCGGATCCAGAGCACCACGTCCACCTGACTTTCCTTTCGCACATCAGATGCCACCTGAGAGGTCATGGGCTGGGCTGGGTGGACCACGACTCCATGTAGCCTGCTTGTCTCCCCTTCCCCCCAACCCAGGGCAGTTCTCCCCAACGGCCATAGATGCCCGCTGGCTGCGGCCCCCCCCGCCCCCCCTGGACCCCCGGACGGAGCCCCTCATCTTCCAGCAGTTGGAAATCGACCATTACGTGGGTGAGCTTGGTGGACAGAGGCCTGGTGGGGGGGAGGAGGGGCCCTGGGCTTTGAGGGAGGAGATGGACACAGACAGTGCCCACGCAGGTGGCCAGGGCTGTGGGTGCCCAGAGGGGCAGCAAGAGGGGAAGGGGGCATGGTGTCCCGCAGGGCTTTTTGGAGGTGGGGAGTGTCTCCCAATTGAGGCCTGAAGGTAAGAGCTGGCTCCTTGCTGAGGGGACACGCGTGTGGTTTGACGTCCATCCGTCCATCTGTCCATCCAGTGTCAGGAACACAGCATCTGCATTGAGCTGGGCCCTGTTTCAGTCAGACCAGGTCCCCGCTCTTCGAGGCTCACCTTCTGAAAGGATAGGCAAAATAAAAAAGGAAATGGAACCTCAGGTGGCGATGAGGGTTATGGAAGGACCTAAGGTAGGGCAGAGGTGCCAGACTGCGCATCTCGGAGGTCTGAGGAGGCCTCTCTGAGGAGGCACCAAGGAGCCATGGGGCGGTCTGGAAGAGGGATTCCGGACCGAGGGTCTTGAGGGAGAGTTCTGGAATGTTCAAGGAACAGCCAGGAGCCCAGGGTGGCGGGAGCAGGGGGCGAAGACGCGGGTAGGGGCGGCCCGTGTGACCCTGTCTGCCCAGGCAAGGACCTGGGGGCTCCATTCTGCACGGGCTGGAAAGCCTTTGGCTGGAGAGACCCATGCCGACTCGCAGGTTAGAAGGCTGCCCTCTAAGAGAGTGAAGAGACGAGCTACAGGCAGGGAGGAAACGTTCACAGTCCACATATCTGACACAAAACCAGTACCACGAATATGTGAAGAACGTTCAGATCTCAATAGTCAGAAAACAGTCCAGTCTGGGAGGGGCCAGAACACTTGAACAGTTCACTCGAGGATGCACAGTGGCAAACCAGCCCTGGAGGTGACGCTCCGTGTCACTGGCTGTCGGGACGATGCACACGGCAGCCACGGTGAGACACGCTCCTAGCAGAAGAGCTAAGGCGCATGTGCACCGAGGACACCAGGTGCTGATGAGGATGCAGGGCGACTGGAACACTTGCTTGTGCCCTCCCGGCCGGAAGGCGGTGGGTGGCAGCCCCTCTGGGAAACAGCCTGGAAGTTTCTTGGAGTTCAGCCTACCCTTCCCACCACGCCCCCCAGCTTTATTGAGATACAAGACTTAAATCTACTCTTTTTTAGGACCAGGCAGTCCCGCCCCCTAGATATTTCCCCTAGGGTTCCTCTGACGGGAGCCAGCAGACCGCGTAGTTCCATTTCTATGGACAGTCTCAAAAGGACAGAAGTAAATGGCCGAGAGCAGACGGACCACCAGTGCCCGGGCTTGTGGTGGGAGGGGGTGTAGTGACAAAAGCACGTCTCGGGAGCTGTTTGGAGTGACAGACCTGTCTTGCGCCCCGATTTTGGTGGTGGTCACACGAGTCTATGTGTGTTAAAGCTCATAACACTGGACACGCAAAGTCGGTGTTATTTTCTAAAAGAAAATATTTTTTGCAAAAAAAGGCAGGGGGCTCCCTCTGGCCCTACAGTGGCAAACGGACTCTAGGGGGACAAAGATGGAAACGGAGGCCAGCGGGGAGGCGGTCAAGGCGGAGTGAACAGCAGGCAGATGCCCCCCAAACTGCAGGAACTAGGGGGCTGTGTTCCCAGCCCAGGAGGAGCCTGGGGAGGCAAGCCTTTAAGGAGCCTGAAGGGGTCGCCCCTGTGTTATCCCGTGACCCCCCAGGCCCAGCACAGCCCCCGCCTGGAGCACCCCAGCGGTCGTGCGGCCCCGTGCCCGTGCTCCGTGCCTTTGGAGTTACCGACGAGGGCGTGTCGGTCTGCTGCCACATCCACGGCTTTGCGCCCTACTTCTATACCCCAGCGCCCCCTGGTGAGTGGCCCTGACCCTCGAGACCTGCTCTCGCCCCCGCCGCCCCCGCCCCCCGTGCTTCTGACCAGCTCGCCCACACCAGGTTTTGGGCCCGAGCACCTGGGTGACCTGCAGCGGGAGCTGAATGCGGCCATCAGCAGGGACCAGCGCGGAGGGAAGGAGCTCACGGGGCCGGCGGTGCTGTCTGTGGAGCTGTGCTCCCGGGAGAGTGAGTGCCGCCCTGGGGGCCAGGCGGGTAGGGGTCCCCCCGGGCCGGTTGCCAGCCTCCTCTGTCCACAGGCATGTTCGGGTACCAAGGGCACGGCCCTTCCCCGTTTCTGCGCATCACCCTGGCACTGCCGCGCCTCATGGCCCCCGCCCGCCGCCTCCTGGAGCAGGGCATCCGTGTGGCAGGCCTGGGCACCCCCAGCTTCGCGCCCTATGAGGCCAACGTCGATTTTGAGATCCGGTACAGCCCCTGCCTCTCTTCAGCCTCCACCCCCACCACCCCCGGCCAGCTTCCACCTACTGATCCTCGTCTCCCTCCAGGTTCATGGTGGACACAGACATCGTCGGCTGCAACTGGTTGGAACTCCCAGCAGAGAAATACGTCCTGAGGCTGGAGGGGAAGGTACGGGGCTCCCCAGGGGCGAAGGGGGGGAGCACAGAGCCGGGACCCCGCAGCCACTGACAGGCCCCATCCCTACAGGCCACGCTGTGTCAGCTGGAGGCGGACGTGCTGTGGTCTGACGTAGTCAGTCACCCGCCGGAAGGGCAGTGGCAGCGAATCGCACCCCTGCGCGTGCTCAGCTTTGACATCGAGTGTGCTGGCCGCAAAGGTCTGTCTCCGGGGCCAGGAGCTCCTCCTGCCCTCCCTTTAGATATTGGTGACATGCCGATCTTGCCCCAGCAGTCCCCATACTTCTTGAGCTCACTCTCGGGAAGAAGGGAGTGAACATGCAAATGGATAGGTCATCGTAAGATTCTCCATCGAAGGAGGATGGTGGTGGACAGTGACAGGGCAGCTCAGACAGGTGGGCAGGGAAGGCCTCCGGGGTGATGAGGCAAGCCTAGTGAAGAGGGATGGGCAGCCTCCCCCAACACACACACACACATACACACACACACACCCCTCTGCAGAGAATAGCAAGCACAAAGGCCCTGGGGCAGGGCCATCCCAGTCTGTGAGGGACAGGGAGAGGGCCAGAAGATGATGGCATAAGGGAACCAGGGTGGGTTGTGCGGGGTCTGCAGGCAGTGGGGGTAGAGAGGAGTAGACAGGCTGGGGAGATTTGGAGGTGCAGCCGCCCTGATGTGTCATGAAGGAAAAGGAGGAGTCTGGTCCCCTGCATCCATCCCCCTTCTTCTTCCCTGTGCAGGCATCTTCCCTGAACCCGAGCGGGACCCTGTGATCCAGATCTGCTCACTGGGCCTGCGCTGGGGTGAGCCGGAGCCCTTCCTGCGCCTGGCGCTCACTCTACGGCCCTGCGCCCCTATCCTGGGCGCCAAAGTGCAGAGCTACGAGCGGGAGGAGGAACTGCTCCAGGTGGCCCTTGTTTCATTTCCCCTCATTTCCTCAGAACCCCCCACCCAGCCTCCACATCCCAGGCCCAAGGCCTCTGGACGCTGAGACATCCAGTCCACGGGTTCAGATCCCTTTGCTTTGCAGGGGTGAACATTTCCCCTCTGAGCTCCGTGTTATTTTCAGGAGCACCTGCTCAGTCTTTCTACAATGGGCAGAAGGGCTCTAGGGTTGCTCTGGGGGGCTTCTGGAATGTTCCAGGAGTGGGGAGGACCCACGCCAGGGGGACGATCAGGATGACAAACCAGGGTGACCTGATGTGCTCCCACCCCAGGCATGGTCAACCTTCATTCGCACCATGGACCCTGATGTGATCACCGGCTACAACATTCAGAACTTTGACCTTCCGTACCTCATCTCCCGGGCCCAGACTCTCAAGGTAGGGCAGGCAGGTGGGGGAGGCTTGCCTTCAGAAGCCCCACTGGGGGCTCAAGGGGTGGGCGGCCACCCTGCTCCTCCTCGCTGCCTTCTCCCTTGTGGCTCTGTCCCCCGCGGTGGTCTGTCTTGCTATGGACCTGCAGCCTACCGCCCCCCAGTGGCTCCAGGGACATTGCTGAAAACAGCCCTGGCCCCATCCCTGCCCTGCTCAAAGTCCAGAAGGTTATCGTGGTTTTTGCCGAGGCAAGGAGGGCACTCATGGTTAAGTAAGGAAAGGCTTGTGTGTCTGAGGGGCAGACTGAAGCGTGCACAGGTATAGCGTCTTATCTTCTGGACTTTAAAATACGTCAGTAAAAAAATAAGGGAAAGGGGGGGTTCCTCGAAGCGTGTGGCAATGCCTTGAGGCTTGTTGAATCCGGGGGTGACTGTGTGGGGTGCGTTCGCTTGCTAGGGCTGCCAGAACCCAGGACTGCGGACTTGTGTCATCTCAAGCCCAAGATCAGAGCCTCCCAGGGCTGGTTCCTTCTGAGGCCTCTCCTAGCTTCTGGTTGTCTCAGACATTCCTGGGGTGTGGAAGGCCATCTCCCTAATTCTTCAGCCTGTCTTCCTTCTATGAGTGTCTCTGCTCAAATCTCCCCTTTTTCTTTTTTTTCCCCCCTTTTTCTAAGGATGCGGTTGTAGGGGATCAGGGCCCACGCTGGTGACCTCGTCTTAGCTCGATCACCTGTAAAGACCCTATTTCTGAATGAGGTTACATTCTGAAGCGTTGGCAAGTTAGGCCTTCAACATATTTGGTGGGGGCGAGGAGACAATTCCGCTCATAGTGGGGGTTATATTATATTATTCGTTCCTCTTCCTTATGTTTGGCCTGTTTTGTAATGAAAAATAAAAATCACGTTTGGGGAGCCTGGCTGGCTCAGTCACTAGAGCATACGGCTCTTGATCTCAGGGTCGTGGGCATGGAACCTACTTAAATAAAATTGAATGCTATTAAAAAAAAAAGTCACGTCTATGACCCCCAACAGCGCCAGGAAGAAGTCCATCCCTGTCCGTCAGGCATTTATACACAGGGCACTGCTCCTCTCCCCTCTGTCCCCTGACCTGCTATTCCATCGGCTCAGGCCTCTCCTCTCTACCCTGGCCCTCCCGCCTTCCCTCCCGGTACCACTCTCTCCTGACCTCAGACCTAGCTGTCCCTGCTGCCCTCTGCTGTGCTCCCACCCAGCTCTCCCCCAGGCCCCCCAGCCCATGCACACACCACCTTCCCACTGAGTTCAGATCGTCCCCAGCTCTGCTCCTCCAGCTGCCCATCTGAGGGCGGCTCCCCAGCCACTGGGCTCCATCCTTAGCCTCTCAGCCCCGTGGCCATCAGGCCTCTGACTCTCCCCGTCCTGGCCTCCTGTCTCTCACCTCCAGGCCACGCCTCCCCGGCCCCAGAGGCTTTTTCTGCATCAGAACTGCCCCTGCTTCCGGCCACCCAGCCCTGGGCTCCCTGCAGGAAGAGCGCGGCATCCCGGGTGGCGTCGTGGCCCGTCTGGTCTCCATGCCTCTGGCGTGGCCCTGGGGGGGGCGGGTCCCCAGATCTGGCTGCTCCCCACCGCAGCTCCGCCCTGCCCGCCGGCTTTGCCTCCAGGTGCATACATTCCCCTTCCTGGGCCGCGTGTCTGGCCTCCGCTCCAACATCCGGGACTCGTCCTTCCAGTCCAAGCAGACGGGCCGCCGGGACAGCAAGGTGGTCAGCATGGTGGGCCGCGTGCAGATGGACATGCTGCAGGTACGCGGGCCGGGCCGGGCGGGTGCCCGCCTCACGGGACTGCCGCCGGGGCCCCGGGCCCACCCTGCGCCCCCTGCCGCAGGTGCTGCTGCGGGAGTACAAGCTCCGCTCCTACACGCTCAACGCCGTGAGCTTCCACTTCCTGGGCGAGCAGAAAGAGGACGTGCAGCACAGCATCATCACCGACCTGCAGGTGCCTGGCTGCCGCCTGTGGCCTCTGACCCCTCCTTCCACCTGCTCTGACCTCAGCCTCCCGCCTTCCCGACCGGGGGCTTCAGCCTCCCAGCTCTTCTCCCGACTTTGACCTTGACCTCTTGCTTTTGATTGGCGACCTCACCCTGCAGGTGTGACTCCCCATTCCTGCCCACTCACATGACCTCTGGCGCTGCGACCTTTATTCCGCTCTCCTGCCCGCCCCTCTAGTCCACACTCGCCCTTCAGACGGCGCCCTCCTCCCTCGGACCCTGTCAACTCCCTGACCTCCCCACTGCCCGCTCCGCACCCGGACCCTCGCCCTCTGCCTGACCCTGACGCCAGCCGTGCGTGTCCCCAGAACGGGAATGACCAGACGCGCCGCCGGCTGGCCGTGTACTGCCTCAAGGACGCCTTCCTGCCCCTGCGGCTGCTGGAGCGGCTCATGGTGCTGGTGAACGCCATGGAGATGGCGCGGGTCACTGGCGTGCCCCTCGGCTACCTGCTCAGCCGTGGCCAGCAGGTCAAGGTCGTGTCCCAGCTGCTGCGGCAGGTCAGTGGGCGGAGCTGAGGGTGGGCCCGGGGACAACACCCCCAGCAAGTCCCACTCCTGGCCCCTGGTCACTCGTTGTGGCTCCTGGGCCGTGACGCCCGGATGCCCTTCCCTGCTCCTCCTCCTCCCTCTTGCGGTCTGCCCTGCCCATTCCTGCCTCCACTTACCGACTTCTGCCCTCCCAGGCCATGCACGAGGGACTGCTGATGCCCGTGGTAAAGACGGAGGGCGGCGAGGACTACACGGGAGCCACAGTCATCGAGCCCCTCAAAGGGTGAGGCCCCGTGGCTGGGGGGGGCAGGGTGGCTCGGGATTCCCGGGCCTGATTCCTCTGCACCCTCCCAGGTACTACGATGTGCCCATCACCACCCTGGACTTCTCCTCTCTGTACCCATCCATCATGATGGCCCACAATCTGTGCTACACCACACTCCTGCGGCCCGGGGCTGCCCAGAGACTAGGGTATGGCCCCCTCTTCATCCTGTGTACCCCAGGACTGCCTGGGGGCTAGCTCTAGTCTGGGCAGGGCCAGGGGCCCAGAAATAGTGGGGAGGGGAGTAGAGGGGAGACTCGAGAGGTGGGGAGAGCCTGAAGGGTCTGGAGGAGGAAGAGATGGGGAAGCCAGGTTCACGCCCTCCTCCCCCACCCCACCCCCATCCTCTGACCCAGGCTGACCGAGGATCAGTTCATCAAGACACCCACAGGGGATGAGTTTGTGAAGACATCAGTGCGGAAAGGGCTGCTGCCCCAGATCCTGGAGAACCTGCTCAGCGCCCGGAAGAGGTGGGTTCTTGAGCATCACACCCACCCCTGCTCAAACTTGCTGAGGCTCCTCGTCAGTCCCTGTCCCTTGTGGGTCACTCCAGGATTCCTATGCCATACTTAACTGCAGCCCCTGTGTGACTTAGAACAAGACGCCCCTCCAGACTGCTCCCATTTGCCCCCTCTGCTAGGCGCCTCTGTGCAGTGCACAGCCTGCACACCAGTACACGGCACTCATTTCTAGAAAGGCACCCTAACCGGTGTCCAGGCCCTGGCCTCTCATCTCTCCCTGAGATCTGGGGCACTGTGTCCGTAGCCTTGGCTTCCTGTCCTTCCAGGGCCAAGGCTGAGCTGGCCAAGGAGACAGACCCCCTGCGTCGGCAGGTCTTGGACGGGCGGCAGCTGGCACTGAAAGTGAGCGCCAACTCTGTCTATGGCTTCACTGGTGCCCAGGTGGGCAAGCTGCCGTGCCTGGAGATCTCTCAGGTGAGTGCTCGGTTTCCACAGTAGGCAGGGGGGAGCAGACAGCCCCTCCCTAGGAGAACCAGCTCTCCGTGTGGTAGAGGTCACGTTGCCCCAACTTGCTGAACATTCTCTGTGGGTCCAGCAGGTGGCAAAACGGACGAGGGTTCCTGCCCTCCTGCAGCACGCAGCCTCGGGGGTACACGGACGGTGACAGCAGTAAATGTGTGTAGGAAGGCAGTTGGCGCCAAGGGCTTGGCAGGCAGATGAAGCAGGGGAGGGAGGGGGAGTGGTGGGGTGAGCGGAGGTTTTGTTCATTGCTCATTCATTCCGTTTGTCATAGTCGATCTGACAGACCCCACCCACCTCCTCCCCTGGTCGGGGTGGGGATGCAGAGGGCAGGTTCCCTCCCGCCTGTTGGGAGAACAGGGCTGTGTCTCTGTTCATGGGGGCTGGGGCAGTGCTGGGGGCCAACCAGTAGCACCGCTGGGCTCTGACGCTGGATTTGCTGGGCGTGCTCCGTCACTGAAGGAGCGGGTGTGAAGGTGCTTGTTCCCACCCCAGGTGTGAAGATGCTTGGAAGGCGCTTGGTCCGTGCTCTGCTCTGAGAGCCCGCTGCCTCCCTCCCTGCCCTGTAGCGGCGTCCCAGGCCTGTTTACCAGAGGCAGCTCTGCTGCTCGGACAGGAAAACAGATCCACGGTCAGATCACAGAGGATCTGGGTCTGAGGTTCTGCCAAGCTGGGATCAGTGCCTCGGCTCGTGGCCTTAGAAAGGTCTTCCTGTCCAGCTCCTTTCCCTGGGCTTTGGGTCTCGGCACATTCCAAACTTGGTTGCTCCCAGCCATGGGGAGCTCCCTCTGTATCTGGCACTATGTCAGTCCTCATGGGGCTCTAGGTGGAAGACTTGGAAGAATTGCCGGTGACTGGGCTTTTTGGTGGGAGAGGCCTGTGTACACACCCACCCACCTTTAGTCCCAGGGCCCCCGAGATCACCCTCCCCTCCTGTGATCCACTAGAAGGACTGAAGGAACTCAGAAAAGCCATCGCACTCGTGATTATGACCTAATACAGTTAAAGGATAGGGATTAAAATCAGCCAAGGGCAAAGGCACAGAGCTTCTAATTGTCTCTCCCAGTGGAGTCATGCAGACAGTGCTCATTCCTCCCAGCACTGATGTGTGACGACATGTACGGATTGTTTCCCACTAGGGGAGCTCACTGGAGCCTCTGTGTCCTGGGTTTTTATTAGGGTCAGTCACGTAGGCACAGAGCATCTGTGCGACTGACCTTCGTTACTTGGTCTCCGGCCCTTACAGACAGAGGTCAGGGGGCACCTGGGTGGCTCAGATGGTTAAGCGTCTGCCTTTGGCTCGGGTCATGATCCCAGGGTCCTGGGATCGAGTCCCATATCGGGCTCCTGGCTCAGCAGGGAGCCTGCTTCTCCCTCCCCCTCTGCGTCTCCCCCTGCTCATGCTCTCTCTCTCTCTATCTCTGTGTCTCAAATGAATAAATAAAATCTTTAAAAAAAAAAACAGAGGTCAGGTTGATACCATGTGGCCCAAGGCCTCACTGTGAGTCATGTTGTTAGGATAGTCCAAGGTCCTAGGTGAACAAAGACACTCTCTTAGGATGTTCCAAGGGCCTAGAGGTTCCCTGTAAAAGCCAGGCCTCTCTTTGGGCAAGGTTCATCCCATAGTGCATCCCACCCAAACTCCTCTCATTGGCCTTTCATAGTTCCTTGGGGTGTCCCCAGCCTCCTTGGTGGAAAGAGGTGGGTGTTTGGCTGTCAGACTCCAGCCCCTGAGCAGAGGCCAGGCCAGGAGGGTTTGGCTTTCTTTCCCCTGGAGCTCCCTCATCAGGGCTACTGCTTCTTCATCTTATCTGTCTTTTCCTTCTTCACCCTTCTCTCTGTCCCTCTCTCATGTCTGTTTCTTAGCTCCTTTCTTATTGCTGTCTCTCAGGCTTATAGGGGCAGGGAGATGGAATAAAAAACCACCAAAACCACAGAATCATTCCAGGAAAAGATGAAGGAAAGAAAAAGGGACACAGAACAGGTGAAACAAACAGAAGGCAGATAGTAAAGTGGTAGATTTAAGCCCAGATATGATCAATAATTACACTAAATGTAAGTCACCTAAATGCTCTAGTTAAAAGACAGAGGTCTTCTGACTGGGTCCAAACAAACCAAAACAGAAGAGTCACACCCATTTCTCCTTGGTGTGTGCCCCCTGGCTCCCCACTGCCCCAGCTTCAGTTTCCTGTAAAGTAAGACTGTTGGAAAGTTTCTCCACGAGGCTAGCACAACTCTCGACCCTGGGGGGCATTTAACAGCAAGTAAGGTCATTTCCGGCTGCCCAAGGATGTGGGGGTATCACTGCTGGCTTTCAGGGAGGGGGCCAGGAGTGCCAGTGGTCCTGCACCATGGAGAGCTGCCTGCAGGGTCACCACATGCAGGGCATCTCTGTGGAGGGAAACAGGGTGCTGATGGCCTCTTCTGGCCTCGGCCTTGCCAACATGCCTTTTTTTGCAGTCATTCCTCTTCTGTGCCCAGAGCTCTGGGCCAGGGAGCCAGTTCTTTCCAACAGACCTAAGGAGCAGCTTAGTAGCCCCATTTTGTAGATTCGGAAATCAAGGCTCAGAGGGGTGGAGTCACTCGTCCGAGCCCCCAGGAGGTCGCGGATGGCACCCTGAGCCTGTGTTCACTGTGGATGGCTCCCGGGCCCTCACTGCCTGGTTCTCTCCCTGACAGAGTGTCACTGGGTTCGGGCGCCAGATGATTGAGAGAACAAAGCAGCTGGTGGAGTCCAAGTACACGGTGGAGAATGGCTATGGCGCCCACGCCAAGGTCAGAGGCCACCCCACCTGCTGTCCAGGGATGGGCCCAGGGCTGGTTGGGGGAGTGCAGGGGCTTGGCCCCCTTCTCCCCCTGCCTCCCCATCACACACACCCCTCCCCAGGTGGTATATGGTGACACTGACTCAGTCATGTGCCGATTTGGTGTCTCCTCTGTGGCCGAGGCGATGGCTCTGGGGCGGGAGGCCGCAGACTGGGTGTCAGGCCACTTTCCCCCGCCGATCCGGCTCGAGTTTGAAAAGGTAAGTCGGAATCTCCCTCAGGGCTTGGAGTGGGCAGGTGCGGGCCTTGCAGGTTTCAGAGGATCTCTGATTCTTGGTGCCTGCGAAGTTTAAGAATGCGTTCACGTGAGGTTCCCCTGGTATATCAGCATCTGGAGAACCCCAGTGTAGCTCAGGGTCTCTCCATTTTGGGGTGCCCAGATCTGGGTACTCTGGGTATCCCATTCTTTATGTTCACATGCCCCAGTTTTGAGGTGTTTTGCTGGCTGGATTCTCCTGAGTTTGAAAACCTCTAAAGCCTTGGGCTTTGCTATACAGGACAACGTCTATTTTTTGAAAACCTTGTCAGTCTTACAGCATCTCTGGTTTTGGGTGGGGGGGCTGCCTCGGGCGCTGGGGACCCTGATGGGGCGAATCTTGGATCGGGGCACCATTGGCCAGTGCTCCTTGGTGCCCAGCAGGAATCAGGCTAGGGTCTGGGGACTCACGCTGCGTGTTATCCCCAAGGTTCAGACTTGGGGTCAGGTCTTGGGATAGCTGCTCACAAACGTGGAGCTTCCCAATTCTGAGAAGCCCCTACCTCAGGGCTCACTCCTGGGCCTAAGTCTCAGCTCCTTACACCCCTGTCTGCCTCAGGTCTGTTCCAGACCCAGATTTGGGGCTCTCCAGGCCACACCCCCACGTCTGGATCTCGTGCTTTAGGACCTGTCTCTAGGTTTATCCCAGTCTCTATTTCACATCTGAGGCCCCTGGAATGCTGAGGGTGTCCCTGGGCTCAGGCGCTGGGGTCTTAGGGTCCATGCCCCCCAGCGTCCCAATCCCGCATTGCACAGACCAGCCCTGTGTGTCCTGTTTCTGAGGGAAGTCTCAGGCCTCTGGAAGTCTCGAGGGTCTCAGCCATGGGTCCCCCTCCAGGTCTACTTTCCCTACCTGCTCATCAGCAAGAAGCGGTACGCCGGCCTGCTCTTCTCCTCCCGGCCGGACGCTCATGACCGCATGGACTGCAAGGGCCTGGAGGCCGTGCGCCGGGACAACTGCCCCCTCGTGGCCAACCTCGTCACTGCGTCCCTGCGCCGCCTGCTCATTGACAGGTGGGTGGGACCCTACCCGCAGCCCCTCTCCCTCAGACCCAGGGGTCCAGGCCCCCAGCCTCCTCCTCCCCTGGGGACACAGGTGTCAGGCCCAGCTCGTCCTCAGTGGGGGAACGGTGGAAAGAGTGTGGGGTTGGACAGCTGTGGGTCTGGGCCCCGCCTCTGCCACCTTGCAGCCTGTGGCCTGGCCCCGTCCCTCCCCGCCTTGGGCCTCAGCCCCCAGAGCACATCCTGGCCCCCCAGGCTCGGGGGTGGTGGAGGTACCAGCCCGGCCCGCGGCAGCCGCTGGCGACACACACACATCCTCCCCACCACCCCCACCCCGGTCCCTGCAGAGATCCCGCGGGCGCCGTGGCCCACGCGCAGGACGTCATCTCCGACTTGCTGTGTAACCGCATTGACATCTCCCAGCTGGTCATCACCAAGGAGCTGACCCGCGCGGCCGCGGACTACGCCGGCAAGCAGGCCCATGTGGAGCTGGCCGAGAGGTCCGCCCGGCGCCGTGGGGGGTGCGGGGCCGCCCAGAAAGAGCCCCTCTCCTGCCAGCTGGGCGCCGCTTTCTACGCCCCCCGCCCGCCCCGCTGTCCCACCTGCCCTCACCCGCCCGGCCGCCCCGGTCTCCCCACAGGATGAGGAAGCGGGACCCCGGGAGTGCGCCCAGCTTGGGCGACCGTGTCCCCTACGTGATCATCGGTGCTGCCAAGGGCGTGGCTGCCTACATGAAGTCCGAGGTCAGGCCCACCTGGGCTGCCAGCCCCGCCCAGCTCCCCTCAGCTCTCACTTCTGCTTTCCAAGCCTGGTGGGGTGGGGGGGGGGTGTTTCCCTCTGTGGGCCCCACGGGGCCCTGAGAACCGCCCCCAACACACCCCTGGGAGTTGGCTCCATGCTGCCTCTCTCCCAGGCCTCCTGTGCCCTCTGGAGGCCCCCCCATTATTCTGACCCCTCCTTCACTCCCCCTACAGAGGCCCCAGCCTCACTCTGCACACTGGCTCTCACCGTCTCTGTTTCTGTGTGTCTCTCTCCTTGGTCCTTGCTCTCCAGCCCCTAATTCTCTAGGATTCACGTCCTCCCCCATTCCACCCTGATGGCCGGTGACCCCCGCGACCCCTTCCTCAGCCCCCAGTTCCGGTCCCGCCCCCTCACATCTTGGCTTGGCCACTGTCCCCCCTCACACCCCCAGCAGTGACCTCTGACCTTTGCTGGGTAACCTGAGGACCGCCACCCGTGGGCCCCAGCGTGGGTCACAGCTCACGGCCAGGGACCCCTCCTGGTCCCTGACACCGTCCCAGACCCATGCGCCCCGTCGATGCCGCACTCCGCGGGGCGGCCCCGTGCCCGCTGACCGCCCCACACCGCCGCCCGCACTCACGCCTGGGAGCCCCATGCCAGCGCCCCTCGCCGCGCAGCCTGCTGCTGACGCCCGGCGTGACCGCTCCCGGCCGCTGTGTCTGCAGGACCCCCTGTTTGTGCTGGAGCACAGCCTGCCCATCGACACGCAGTACTACTTAGAGCAACAGCTCGCCAAGCCGCTCCTGCGCATCTTCGAGCCCATCCTGGGCGAGGGCCGCGCCGAGGCCGTGCTGCTGAGTATGCGGGGGGCTGCCTGGCGCGGGGCGGGGGGCGCCGGGGGGCACGGACGGCCCCAGGCCCACCGCCTGCTCCCACCTGCAGGGGGTGACCACACGCGCTGCAAGACCGTGCTCACGGGCAAGGTGGGCGGCCTCCTGGCCTTTGCCAAACGCCACAGCTGCTGCGTCGGCTGCCGCACGGTCCTCGGTCACCAGGGTGAGCCCCGGGCCCCCGGCCCCCGCCCCACGAGCTGGCAGTGCCACCCGGATGGGCCCCGGCCCCTGGCTGGGGGCGCCCGTTTCCAGGCACCCACCCCCTCGAGGGTCCTGGGCCCCCCGCCCAGGGAGTTCCCCGGGGAGTTTTCTCCCACACACTTGCTCCCTTGTTCTCTTGTCTCCGGGGACTTTCAGGAGCCGGGATGGGCAGCGGGTGGGGAAGGGGCAGGGATAGGGCGGCCCGGGCCCTGGCTGGGCCCCAGCTCCCCTGTGCCGCCCCGCCCCCTCTGCCAGGAGCCGTGTGCAAGTTCTGCCAGCCTCGGGAGTCCGAGCTGTATCAGAAGGAGGTGAGGGGCAGGGGAGGGGGGCGGGGGGCGGCGCGGGGAGGGCGCGGGGGGGGGCGGGGCCACCTTCAGCCCTCTCGCCCCCAGGTGTCCCACCTGAACGCTCTGGAGGAGCGCTTCTCGCGCCTCTGGACCCAGTGCCAGCGCTGTCAGGGCAGCCTGCATGAGGATGTCATCTGCACCAGGTACGCGGGGGCCCGCCTGCCGCCCGCCCTCCCAGCTCCCGGGCCGGGCACCGGAGCCCTGACCTGAAGGCCCTGGGGGGCGCGCTGGCTGACTTTCTGGGTGTCCCGGCCTTGCTGCGGGGAGAGCTCGCTCCGGGGGCCAGCAGCTGCCCAGGAAATGACCGCGGTTCTCTCTCTTCTGCTCTTACACGCACACACATGCACACGCACACACGCACACACACGCACGCACGCGCACCTCGGCCCTGGCCCCCTCCCCCAGGCCGGGCCAGGCTTTCCCCAGGGAACAGGTGGGCGGGGCTGGTTCCCACGCCAGGTGACAGGTGATATACGGCTGGTGGAGCCCAGCGCCTCCGCGGGTACCCGCTGTTACAGCTCCCCCCATGCCCGCTGAGCAAACAGCCTGCCCCTGGAGGGGGGTTGGGTGGGCAGCAGGCGGGGGCCAAAGTCCTGGGAACGGCCCCGGCCCCATCAGCGGGCCGGGCAGCGCCCCAGGCCTGACCCTGACCCCCACCCCGCCCACAGCCGGGACTGCCCCATCTTCTACATGCGCAAGAAGGTTCGGAAGGACCTGGAAGACCAGGAGCAGCTTCTGAGGCGCTTTGGCCCTCCCGGCCCTGAGGCCTGGTGACCTCTGACCGGGGCAGGCTTCTCACCAGGGCTGGGGGGCGGGGGGGCAGTGTTGGCAGAGAATTAATAAAGTTCAGGCCTTTTGTTTCCTGGCGCCTTGTGGTCTTTGGTGGGTGGGGTCCACGGTCATGAACCCTGGCCCAGGTGGGTCATCTCCACTCACTGGGGTCCCCTGACCCCCAGGAAACCCCCGCTGACTTCCTCACCTTCCCTCCAAGACCCCTGGGCTCCCAGCACTGCTGCCAGCCCCATGAAAGTCGTGCCTGCCTCAGTCTCCCCCTGTGACCCTCCCTCGAGGTCCTGAGTGAATGTCTAACCACACATCCTCCTCTGCCTGGACCGCCCCGCCCTCCAGGTGCTGACCTGTTTCCTCCAGGCCTGGGGCAGCCCCTCGCACAGAAGCTCCCACTCCCCAGCACAACCCAGGGGACGCCCCCCTTCCCATGTCATACACCCACGGTGTTTCCACCTTGGGGTCCTCACAGGCTCTGGGCCTGGGTTTTCCTCAGAGACACCCCCCCCCCCGCCAGGCCACGTCCACTCCTGAGAGTCCCGGCAGCCCCGCCTTGCCTTCTGACCCCATTGGTGCTTGAATCTGCCCCTTGATATCATGTGCCCCCCATCCCCAGCAACCCACTCCCCCTCTGGTTCCTGGGCCTGGGTCGAGCCCACACCGTTTACTGACCCCCACTTCACGGACCACAGGACCCCTTGGCTTCCCTACTTCCTTAGGGTCCCCCTGAATCCAGTTCCTCTCCCATCTCCACCCCTCAGGGTCAGCCCCCCATTCCCACCCCAACCGTGGGGATCCCCAAATCGAGACGGCCCCTGGGCCTGCCCTCTCCACCACGTGACCAAGGGGTTGTGCAATCCAGCCCCCTCCCCTGACCCTCCCCGAGGGGATTTTCGAGGAGGGCTGTGCTCTGTGCAGGCCAGCCGGCACCCCTGCCCCCCCCAGGGGGCTGGGCCAAGGTATAAATAGGGGTGGTGGCTGAAGCAGGCAGCAAACCCAGCCCAGCGCCACCATGCTCGCCCTGGAGGCTGCACAGTAAGTGGGGGTTCCCTAAAGGAAGGCGTCCCCCTGCACTTAAGCCCCTCTGCTAGGCCTCCCTCAGGGGTGGTGGTCTGCCCCACTCAGGGGGCAGGGGGGTGGAAGGGAGAGGGTCCACACTGCCTTTTGCCCCTTCTAGATCTCTCTTTACCTCTCCTACCTCGGCTTCCTTCCTCCATCCTATCCCTGTCTCTCTCAGACCTCGAAAATCTCTCCGTGGGATGCTTGCCGGTCTCCCCTCCTGCTGACGGCCTCTTCCAGGCGGCCCTCCAGGCCTGTCTGTCCCCCCAGTCTCCCACTGGGCCTCACCAAACCTCTGGCTTGCTCACTTGTTGCCCACTCTGCTGCTCGCCATATCATTTTTGTTTCTGGGGCTCTGTTCTCTGCTTCCTGCTCCCTCTCTGTCTCTGTCCCCGTCTCTTTCCAGTTCTTTGTCTGTCTGTCTGCTCTCTCCTGCTGTCTCCCTGTCTCTCCCCTGGCCCCATCTGCCTATCTCTGGGACTCAACCACTTCCTGCACCAGCGAATGTCTCTCTCCACACTTTCCTCCCTTCCCTCCTCTCCCATCTCCTTCCCATCCCTGCCCAGCGGCTCTCCATCTCTCCTCTGGTCCAAGGTGGACCCATTTAACCGACTCACTGACGGAGGCCCCCTCCCTGCCCCCACCGGCCCACTGGCGCCCACACCGCCTCTCCAGGGACTTTCTCTCCCTCACTTTCCCTGCCCCCCAACCAGCCTCTCTCTATGCAAATCCCAGGGGAGGGGGGACATTTGCCTGTTCCCCCCCACCCCCACTTCCTGTCCCCGCTCGAGTGTGGTGGGGCTGGTCTCGCACAAGGACATACAGCAGAAGAACTGCGGTGGTCACAGCTGCAGCCGCCTCCCCCCGCCCCATCGGCTCCCAACCACTCTGAGACTCAGGTGGCTGAAGGCACCCTGACATGCCCCTGTGTCTCTCCCCCTCCAGGCTCGACGGGCCACACTTCAGCTGTCTGGTGAGTCGGGGCCCCGGGGGCCAGGGAGGGTGGGGGGGACCCACACGGCCCACCTTGACCCCCTGCCTCAGTTTCCCCTTCCACTCCTTCCTGTCACTTTGTCTTTCTGACTCCCCCTCCGGATCTCCCACCAGCACCCTCCTCCTCACCTGCCCCATCCCCTTCATGGACCTTTCTCCACCGTCTCTTCAGCTCTCAGGCTCTGGGTCCACTTCCTGGCATGGGGAGGATGGGGGTCCTTGTGTCTTTGGCTTTGTGTCTCTTCCTCCGCCCGCCCCACATTCAGCGAACCTGTTTATTCCTTCTTTCCTTCTCTTCTTTGCTAAACTGTATTTTCGAAAGCTAGTCTAATAGTTCAGACACGCGGGATACTCTACTCACCACCCATAACCTACAACCCCACCCAAGAACTAAAACCTCACTCACTTGTGGACGCCCCGCCACCAGCATGTCCCACCTGCCCTCAACCTGACAAGTTTTCTGCCTTTTTTTTTTTTTTAAATGGAGGTATAACCTACAAGTTGGCAAAGTGGCAGATCTCGTGTGCAGCCCGGTGACATTTCACATTACGCACACATCTGTGTAACAGCAAACCAGACCAACACATAGAACATTTCCTTCCCTCTGGAAGATTCCCAATCAACAATCACCCCTCCCCCCTGGGATCTTTTCCAACACGGATTAGTTTTGCCTGGTTTTGACCTTGATCTGAAGTGCATCATGCAGGATGTCCCCCTTTGGGTCTGGCTTCCTTCATCAACGTTCAGTGTGCATCGGGCATTGTTTTGTTGTTGTTGTTGTTTTTAAGTAAGCTCTCTCCCCAGCGTGAGGCTCGAACTCATGCTCCGAGATCAAGAGTTGCATGCTCCACTGACAGCCAGCCAGATGCTCCAGCCTTGGCTCTTTTCCCTTGCTGTATAGTACTCTGTTGTAGGACCCCCCCCATCCACACCCCAAAACCACCAGTTTATCCATTCTCCCATCCACGGGCTATTTCTCGCTTGGGGATATTAGAAAAGCTGTTCTCGAACAAAGCTACTTTGTGGACGTATGTTTTCAGTCCCTTGGGGGAATACCTGGGAGTGAGGCTGCTGGGACGTCTGGATGTCTAGCTTTGGTCTTTACTATAATTGCTAAAGCAACACACGACTCTTGGGGTAGATCAAAGCGATACAGAGGTGAATAAAGAAGCATTGAGATTTTCTTTGCCTCTGTAGAAACACTTCCACCCCTGGGACAGGCGAGCCTGGGGGAATTGGTCCACACTTTCCCCACGCCTTCCTGGAGCCCATGGTCTTAGCAGGTGCTGGCTGCCATGTCCCTCTCTGAGAGCCTGGGTCTCGGGGTTTCTGCGCATCTCCGCCTGTGTCTTTCATTCTCTCTGTGTGTGTTCTTGCTGTGTTGTGGGGGTGTGGGGGTGTGTTCCTGCTGTGTTGTGTGTGTCCCTGCTTTCCGTATCTCTGTATATCTATCTCTTGGCCCCTGTCTCTGGTGCCTGGTCTCTGTGTCTCTTTCTTTCCTTCTCCCAGCCCTCCCCTCTTCTCCCCTGTCCCTGTCAGAATCCTCCTGCTGGCCCAGATGGGGTGGGGGCTCCCCGAAGCCTGGGATGACCCCTCTTCCTCCCCCACCCCATCAGTACCCAGATGGCGTCTTTTATGACCTGGACAGCTGCAAACATCCCAGCTACCCCGACTCAGAGGGGGCTTCTGGTGAGTGGCCCTGCCCTAGCCATCCTCCTGACCTGGACCTCGGGCCCATTTCACAGATGGGGGAGCTGAGTCCCAGGGGAGGATGTCACCTAGTTCAGCAGGATAAGGTTAGCCCAGGTCTCCAGACCTCCTCCCCTTTCCTCTCCCACCCACCCTCTTGCCCATGCAAATTCTGGGGCCAGAGATTTGCAAGGCCCACAATGGCCTCTCTGTGCTGGGGGCTTCGAGTGGGAGGGGCTGAGGCCAGACCTGACTTCTGACTCAGCGCCCTCCCACCCTCCCCCAGACTCCCTGTGGGGCTGGGACCTCAGTCCAGCTGTCCCAGCCGCCTCCTATGAAGCCTTCAACCCAGCTGTGGCTACCTTCAGCCACCCCCAGAGTGTCCAGCTCTGTTACGGACCCTCAACCTACAGCCCCGTGGGGAACCTCGACCCGGCCCCCAGCCTAGAAGCCCCGGGGCCCAGCTTCCCAGCGTACCCCACGGAGGACTTCACCAGCCAGGTGAGGGGAAGGGACACGATTAACATCCCCATCATTTGATCGAGATTTACTAGATGCCAGGCAGCTTGTGAAAGCCTTTGTAAACCTCTGAGGTTAGGGACCGTCTTCACTCCTTCGCATGGACCAGCCAACACAGGCATGGATGTTAGGCAAGGGGCAGCCCAGAAGGCCATGATCTGGGTTGGGCAGGCTTTCAGGGAGGGGGCCTGGGCGTCCCTTGGCCATGCCACGGAGATCTAAACCGAGGCCAGAGGGCAGGCTGTCAAGAGAGTGGGGAGGGCCACAGTGGGGACCCAGGAGGAGGAAGCTGAGGGAAGAGCGCAGAGGGAGGGAGGGAAGGGGGTCCTTGGACTGCAGGTGATCCTGACCTTTTGCAGACCATGGGCCCCCCGGCGTATGCCCCATACCCCAGCCCTGTGCTGTCGGAGGAGGAGGATCTCCTGCTGGACAGCCCCACCCTGGAAGTTTCAGACAGCGAGTCGGATGAGGCCCTCATGGCTGGCCCCGAGGGGAGGGGATCTGAGGCAGGTACGTAGGAGCTAGTGGGGTAGGGTGGAGCTCCACATGGAGGTGCGGGGGCTAAAGGAACCCCGGCTTCTCAAGCACCTACTGTATACTCCAGGGCTGAGGGCGGTTCCCTGTGTGACCTGGGGCAAATGACTACCTCTCTTTGCCTGAGTTTCCGATCTATAATGGGGATGGCAGTAAGTGTCTATTACTGGTGTGGGGGGGGATTAAGTGGGATGATATAGGTAAATGAGAGCAGTGCTTGGCCCAGAGTGGGCAATCAGCAAGTCTCCACCGTTATTGAACAACAGTGCCGGACATAATCACCACATCAACACCAGTCCATGGAACCCCTGTTTCCACCCGTGTCCCTCACATGTAGTATGCTCAACTCCTGGGCGGTTGGGATCATGAGTTACTTTCCCTACCTGGCTCTCGGTTTCCCATCTGTAAAATGGGCGGCAGCAGCTCCATCTCCTGGTGTTCTGAGGAAGGTGAAATGAGCTCATAACTGCAAATGCCTAGCACTAAGTGCTTCACTTAGTTTGTAAGGTTTGTAAAAGTAACACGCGCGCGCGCACACACACACACACACACACACACACAGCCTCATTTATAGCTGAGGAGAGGCCAGCTCAGAGAGGTTAAGTCGCCACCTCAAGGTCACTCAGTGCTGGGAAATGGCAGACGGGGGGCGGGAGGGGGGTTCTTGTAGCCAATGCCCTGCTATGAACAGCCCCCTCTCCCGCTTCCGGGGGCCTTTGCTCCTTGTAGGAGCCCAAGAGTCAGACCCCCGAACCTTCCAGGATCCCAGTCCCTCTGGGACTGAGAAATGGCTAGGCGGGTTCAAACCCGCTCCAGATCTCGTCACCACCACTCAGCGCCCTGTTATAAGCCTTTGAGGAGTCCTGGCAGCCCGTTTCACAGATCCTCTCATCCATACGCAGGGCAGATGCGTGTTACTATGTGCTGGCCACCGACAGGGCAGAGGAGAGACGCGCAAACCCAAGATAAAGCAAAGCAGGGGGATGGGAGCTCCGGGGGAACAGCTTCAGGGAGGAGAGCGGCTGGCCTCCGACGGGGGTGGTGGTCGCACAAGTCGGAGCCACCTCCCTCGCCCCAGTGCTCTCGGCCGGGAGACTGAGGCTTGCTGGGGGCCCGGGGGCGGGGGCCGAAGCGGGGGGGGGGGGGTGGGGGCGGCGCCCAAAGGCTCCCTCCCCCTAACGCGTCGCCCCCCACCGCAGGGGCCCGCAAGAAGCTGCGCTTGTACCAGTTCCTGCTGGGGCTGCTGACGCGCGGGGACATGCGCGACTGCGTGTGGTGGGTGGAACCGGGCGCCGGCGTCTTCCAGTTCTCGTCCAAGCACAAGGAGCTCCTGGCGCGCCGCTGGGGCCAGCAGAAGGGCAACCGCAAGCGCATGACCTACCAGAAGCTGGCGCGCGCTCTGCGCAACTACGCCAAGACCGGCGAGATCCGCAAGGTCAAGCGCAAGCTCACCTACCAGTTTGACAGTGCGCTGCTGCCGGCCGCCCGCCGGGCCTGAGCCCCGTGCGGGCTCTCCGGGGCTCCACGGCTGCGGCGCGTTGGCGTCCCCACACCCTAGGTCATAGGACCCGTGATTCCCCACACTGCGGGGAGGCGGGGGCTGCCTTAATCCCTAAGCCCTGCTCAGGGCCCCTCTGGGACACCCCCCCACCCCAATCGTGTCTGGGGCCCCTCTGGGATTTCCTTGTCATGTTCGGGATCCCCAGGATCCTCATGTCTTGGGTCACAGGACCCATAGAGGACTATACTATATGTCTGTGTGGAGGGGGTGGGCAGGACCGTGCTTCCAGAATCCCAAGAGCTTCTCTGGGATCCCCTTGTGGTGTCTGAGATCGTCCAACCAAGCCTGGGACCTCTCTGAGCTCCCTTGTGTGTCTGATTCCTTAATCTCATCTGGGAAGGGTGAGCCCACAGATCATCACACAGGGAGGGGGTTGCTGATGGCGACCCTAAGCCCTGTCCAGCCACGGTCTCTCTGGGATCCCCTTCTCATGTCTGACACTCTCCTGTCAGATCTGAGATCTCCTACTTATGTATGGGGCCTTCTGGAAACCCTTTATCACATCTCAGATCTCTGTGCCCATCTGTGACTCTCTTGTCCTGTTCCCCCAAATACGTTTGTCATCTTGAGATCCCCAATTCTCTGGAACCACTGTGCTATCACTTTTGTGTGTGTCTGGAATTCTCCACTCACATCTAGGGTGCCTCTGGGATCCTTTGGCCATGTCTAAAAACACCCTTGTCAGGTCTAAGGGGGGACCTCAGTGAACCCTGTCTTGTCCAGGCCACCTCTGGGATACCCTTGTCTGTCTGGGATCCTTCCAATCACATCTGGGGCCTCCCTGGGATCCCCTATCCGCTAGGCCCCTTTGGGGACCCCATCAGCAGACCTGAATTCTCACAGGGACCCTCCCTTTCCTGCGGTGCCCTCTGTAGGGCCAAGCTAGGGATCGTTCTGGCCAGTCAACTGATTTCTGGGTGATCTTGGCAGCCCTCCCATGTCATCTCTAACCAGAGGTCTCACATTGGTACCCCCACCCCTCCAGATCCCTTTGGGACAAATCAGATCCCTGGTGGTGGGTCCTTCTTTAGTTCACTGCAACAGTGAGGGAGATTTTGCGTATTCCTTTCAAACTTTGCACAATCCAGCAAAGGTGGGCAGCTCTGCGGTGCAGAGAGGCTGGAGGAGGGGGGCAGCCACTCCTAACAGGGCACCTGTTCTCCAATCTGTCCCAGTCCCCGCTGCCCCTGGCTGTCAGACCCCAGTGGCTTCTCTTGGTCGCCTGTTGGCCCCCAACCATTTGCGTTTCGACCCTGGTATGAACCCACGGAGGTGAAGCTTGGGTTCACCGTGGGAGCTCTGATTCGAACCCTGTGGGGGTGTCACAGACTGTGGGCTAAGATGCCAGAATCCCAGGTCCTTGAGTCTTCGTGGCTGGGGGATCTAGGGTGAAAGACTTGCTGCTTCCGGGCCTCAGTTTGTCCCTTCTGTGAAAGGGGAGAGGAGGAGGAGGAGGAAGATAGAAAAAGTCCCTTGCAGCCCTGCTGAGCCTTTGATACATCTTCTGGAAATCTAGCCCACCACCCATTCGTTGACGTCCCGGAGGAGGAGGACAAGGAAGGAGCTTCAAGGACCCAGAGAGGGAAGAGGTCCTTGCTGCTGGTAGCAGAGCCCAGGCTGGGACCTGCCCTCCGAAGGAGAGCACACACACCCTCACCCTGGAAGGGGGGCAGGGTGGGAAGAGAGTGCCAGGGGCAAGATGTCCCCAGGGCCTCCTCTTGCAAATGAGGTACCTTTTGCAAAAACTATCTTCATCACCCCAAGTGTGGAATAAAATAAAATAGAACAAAATAAAATAAAATGAAACAAAACAAATCAAGGTAGACAGACTTCCTAGGACCCTTTGTTAGGGACGGCAATGCTGTCTGTCGGCCCAGGCCTGTTGACCTTCAGAGACACTGCGCGGCTGCGACGCGCACCACAAGACAGGAGATGGAAGAGCCCTAAGAGCCTCACCTTTGAGCTTTGAAGGCCGCGGTAAAGGGCTTCAGATGCAGGCATTGCTGGTTCGGTTCAATTTCTCTCTCTCTCTCTCTTTTTTTTTTTTATGTTTTATTTATTTATTCATGAGAGTCAGAGAGAGAGAGAGAGTCAGAGGCAGAGGGAGAAGCAGGCTCCCCACCTGGCAGGGAGCCCGATGCGGGGCTCGATCCCAGGACCCTGGGATCATGACCTGAGCTGAAGGCAGACGCTTAACCATCTGAGCCACCCAGGCGCCCTCTCTCTCTTTTTTATAAAGATTTTTTATTTTTTATTTTTTAAAGATTTTATTTATTTATTTATTTGACAGAGAGAGACACAGTGAGAGAGGAACACAAGCAAAGGGAGTGGGAGAGGGAGAAGCAGGCTTCCCGCGGAGCAGGGAGCCCGACGAGGGGCTGGATCCCAGGACCCTGGAATCATGACCTGAGCCAAAGGCAGACGCTTAACGACTGAGCCACCCAGGCGCCCCATAAAACATTTATTTATTTTATTTTATTTTATTTTATTTTATTTTTTAAAGATTTCATTTATTTATTTGACAGAGTGAGACACAGCGAGAGAGGGAACACAAGCAGGGCGAGTGGGAGAGGGAGAAGCAGGCTTCCCGCAGAGCAAGGAGCCGGATGCGGGGCTCGATCCCAGGACTCCGGGATCATGACCCGAGCCGAAGGCAGATGCTCAACGACTGAGCCACCCAGGCGCCCCAAGATTTTTTATTTTTAAGCAATCTCTACACCTAACATGGGGTTCCAGCTCTCAACCCCGAGATCAGGAGTCGCCTGTTCTTCCAGGCTGAGCCAGCCAGGCGCCCTCCCTCTCTTCCCCACCGTCTCCCTGCTTCCCTTTCCGTCAAGGTCTCTGTCCCCCCTTCTGCATTTCTGTCCTCCTGCTCTGTACGTCTTCCCCCCTCTCCCTGGATGCAGCACTCGGGCGGGCAGGCCGGGCGGGAGGCTCCTGGTGGCAGCGCAGCCCTCTGGCTCCCGCCGCGGCACCTCAGAACTGGGCCCGCGGGAACGGAGTGGCAGTCTGCCTGGCAACCTGTGACGTCACGGAGAGGCTGCCGCCGGGTTGGCTCGACGCTCCCGGGAGGCGGGGCAGTTTCCGGCTCGCAGGGGGTTTTGGAAAAGCGGGTGAGGGGCCAGATGGACAGGAAGAAAATCGGGAGGGACTTGTCTTCACTCAAACCTGCTCCCTCAGCCAGTTGCTTCCTCTCCCGTCCTCCGCCTTAACCCCAAGCCCCCACACCCTTCTCCCTCTCACACTCACCTCGCCTTCCTCCCCATAACACCTACTGCCCCCCAAAGACCCCTCTCTTCCCCCAATCCCCCCCTTCTGGCCTCCTTCACCTCCCCCCATCCGGCGTCCAGCCACCACCACCCCCATTCTGAAAGCCACAGGTCCCCCTGCTGGGAAGGGCGCCAACGTCCGGGCAGCCCTCCAGGGCCTTCCCGGTCTCCCCACCCGCCCCTCTGGGGGCACTCGCTCCCTCCCCCGCGTCCGGTGCCCGCCGCGCCCGCTCCGGGAACCGTCGCGGGGAGCCGGCCGGCTCGGTCCCAGGAGGGGCAGCGGCCAATCCGGGGGTCCAGGTGGCAGGGGCCGCAGGCCTTCGGATGTGCTCTCGCCCAGGGGCGGGACTCGAGAGTCCCCGAGCCTCAGTGCCCCTCCTGCTGGCACAGAGACCTCCCCCCACCCCCGCAGCCGTCCTGCCTACGCTGGGAAACCAGACCCTCCCTCGCAGCTCCGGTTTCCCGAAAACTCCTGACTTGCAGATACTAAGAATGGCTTTCTAGACCGTCTTCCCCTTTTGCCCCTACGGCAGAGTTCTGGCTCGGAGCCCTCACCCATTTTAGACCCCAGCCCCTTCCTCTCCCGCCTCCTAGGAGTTAGGAGTCCAGGCCCTCATCCTTCTCCATTTTCCTGGACCCAAGAATCTGAGCCCCAGACCCAGAAGTCCAGGCCCTCCTCCCTCAGCGGGAGTCCTCGCCTCCAGCACGCCCTTCCTGGGACCCGGGTGTCTGAACCCCAGGCCACTTCTCCCCAGGGACCTGGCATTCAGCCATCTCTCCTGGTCCAGATGTTATTTCTCACCCTTCAGAACTCGCCCCGGGAATGTGGGGCAGCCAGGGAGGGCGGGGAGGCAAGTGTGATGCCTCCCACAGCCTCCTGGGAGTCTCTGGACTCCTTAAAGGGCTCCCTCTGGGGGCCCACCTGTCCTCCCTAGGGCCCTGAGGGACAAGCTGCCTCCGAGGAGCGAGCGAGGAGCGAGAGGAGGTCTGCTGCCATGCCTGAGGCAGAACCAGGTGGCTTTCAGGACTGCCCTCCCTGGGGGGAGAGGCGCTCCCCTTTTCTGAATGGGGGCTAAGGGCTCCTCTGTAGGTTTGGGAGAATGGGATGTGTTCTCTGTGTGGGGAGGGGTTCCCTTCCTTGTGGGGGGTGGGGGGGCCCCATATCTGTGTTGGGTGGGTGGGTCTCCTTCCCTGTGCAGTGAGGGTGTTCCTTTCTCTGTAGGGATTGGGGGGGGCCCATCTCTGGGTGCAGATGAAGATTCTCTGAATTTGAGTCCTTTTTCTCCGTAGGGATGGGAGTGCTGTGTATGTAGACCAGGGAGTCTTTGCATGGTGATTGGGGTCCTCTACCTTTGGGGATGGAGTCCTCTTCATAGGGAGCGGGACGCTTCTCTGAGTGAGGACTGAGTCCTTTCTCTGTAGGGGAGTGGAGTCCTTGTGTGTATAGAGATTAGGGGGTCCTGTCTCTGTGGTGAGGAGAGCTCTTGTCTGTATAAGGAATTCTATAGGAATCTGAGCTTCCCCACGAAGGAATTAGGGGGCCCTCTCCATATAGGGGCCCTTTATGTGACCCTTTATGTGCAGTTTGATGCTCTTCTTTGAATGGGACAGGGGGCATTTGTTTACATGGGGGTGCTGCTTTCTCCCTCTGAAGAATTGAACAGAAGAGATGCAAGTCCCTGGGAGGGACCCTCCTCCTGGGGTGTCCAGACTGCTGGCATCAGGCCAACCAGGCTGTGGAGTGGGGGTCCAGGCCCTCACTGCAGCTGGGGTGCTGGTGGGCCAGGAGCCAATAGGCAGGGCAGGTGAAAGATGCTATGGTCAGCACAAGGTGTCCGGTTTCCAGCCCAGGGAAAGAGCTAATTATACCCCCAGGACCCAAAAGGTCAGGGCCTCGTGGCCTGAGTGGATGGGACATGACTTGCCTGGGGCAAGGGGAAACCCAATAGCTCAGACTCTCAGGATTACAGATAAATTTACACATGAAGGGGCAGGACTTCTGGATCTGAGGGAGGAGGGGGCGGGCCTGGACTCCTGGGTTTTGGAAGAGGAGAGCACTGAGCACTTGCTCAACTGAGAACATCTTTTACCTCGCAGTAGCCAAAAAGGCCCCCAAAGGCAAAGAGGCTGCCAAACCAGCTCCCAAGGAAGCCCCCCCTGAGGAGGCTCCTGTAGAGGCCCCCAAAGGTGAGACACTGTTCCTGTGGGATCTGCAGAACCTGGCTCTTCATCCTCCAGGCTCCCCTTGCCTCTCTGCACCCACCCTGCTTTCTCTCCTTTAGTCCTACCTCCAGAGCTAATCCATCCTTCCCCTGCTCACAATCCTCCATGGCTCCCCAGTGCCTCCAGGTTAGAGCCCAGCCCCTCAGCCTGGCCCTCAAGCCCCCGGCAACTGGCTGATTCATCTCCGAGTTCTGCCCAGCTCTGAATGCCACAATCTATCTCCACACCTCTCCTACCCCAAAGCCGCATTCAAACCATCCAGTCCACCTCCCTCCAGTTCACAAATGGGGAAACTGAGGCCCAAAGGGGTGGGGGAGACTGGCCAAGGTCATGCAGCCACCTGGGTGACACATGGTATTTCCCAAGTCAGGAGAAGCCACTTTGCTCCATGCTTTGGCATTTGAGCAGAGGGACCCTCACAGGCTCTAAGCCCCACTCCTTACGTGGCCTGCTGCCCCTTCCCCAGCCTGCCTCAGATCCCCTAATCCTGTCTCCTGAGCAGAAGCCCCACCTGAGGACCAGTCTCCCACTGCTGAGGAGCCCACTGGCATTTTCCTGAAGAAGCCAGACTCTGTGTCGGTGGAGAATGGTGAGGGGGGATGAGGGAGGAGGGGTTGGGGACCAGGGCTCCTGGGTCTGAGGGAGGAGAAGCTCACAGTCCTCTCTGTAGAGTCTCATGGTTCTTGTCTGGCCACTCCCTCCCATCCCCCACCGCCCATCCAGGAAAAGACGTGGTGATCTTGGCCAAGGTGAACGGGAAGGAGCTCCCAGGGAAACCCACCGTCAAGTGGTTCAAGGGGAAGTGGCTGGAGCTGGGCAGCAAGAGCGGGGCCCGATTCTCTTTCAAGGAGTCCCACGACTCGGCCAGCAATGTGAGGACCCCGTGGGGACACTAAGGGCATGTGGGCTGGGGATGGAGGTTGTGCAGCCCCCAATTCTCAGAAGGCCTGTTGCCTGAGGCCTGGAGCCCCTGTAGATGGAAAACAGGACCTCTAGGGAGAGAGGCTGTGCGGGGCTGCTTGGTGGAGATTGTGGGGACAGGCTGGGAGAATGTTTGGGTTAGGGCAGGGTGCACTTGACCGGTGTGTGCATTCCCAGAAAGGTCTCAGGGGTCAGGGATGGGGGCCCCCCAGGGGTAAGGGTTGTCCAGTCATGGGAAGAGACAGCTGGCTCCTCCAGTGGAATCAGGGTGAGGACCCAGAGAGGGAGATGTGAGGTGGGCTCTGGGGGGTGTGGGGTGGTGCTGGGGAGCAGTCACCTGCACCCACACCCCTGGTCCCGGCCCCCAGGTGTACACCGTGGAGCTGCACATTGGGAAGGTGGTCCTGGGGGACCGCGGGAGTTACCGCCTTGAGGTCAAAGCCAAGGACTTCTGCGACAGCTGTGCCTTCAACATCGATGTGGAGGGTGTGCTGGAGGGGGTGGGGGGTGGGGAGCAAAGGGTTGTGGGGGGCAGGGCTGGGGCAGATGTTTCAGTCTGGTGTAGGAGAGCATACAGATGTGGGGGTGAGATTGGGGAGGAGGGAGTAGATGCAGGGGTCAAGGCATTCAAAATTGGGAAAATAGTCCATGGGCTTAGACCATGAGGAGGTGTGGACTTGGGGGTGAGAGGGAGCAGAGTTTTTGGTGCCTACTTGAAGGCTGAGAAGGTGAGTTAAGTAGATCCCAGGGTCACAGTGCACAGGCTTGAGAAGGCAGCCATAAAGGCTTGGGAAGCGAGGGTGTCCAGGTTTAGGGTGAGGGTGCACAAGCTTAGTGGGAGGCTATTGCAGATTTGGGGGAATATGTGTGGACCCCTGAAGGTGTACAGGCTCTGGGGTCTACAGCCCGGGATGTGTGGGGCTTAAATATGGAGGACACAGGGAAGGCGGTTGCCCATGCCTGGGCAGAAGAGCATGCTGGCCCAAGTGTGAGGCGGGACAGGCTACTTGGGAGTGGTGTGGCAGCGAGGGCAACAGGTATCCACGTCCAAGTGACAGGGTGTGCTGATCCAAGACAGGGGGCCTGGGTGGAGCTTGTGCAGGCCTGGAGGGGCACTCTTGGTCTTAGATCAGGCCTTGCCTCCAGCTCACCTTCTGTCCCATCATCTCCTCTCCTCAGTGCCCCGTCAGGATGCCTTTGGGCAGGGTCTAGAAAGCTTCAAGCGTTCGTAAGTGATCCTGGAGCCTGGGAAGAGGTGGAGGGGGCTGCTGGTGTCTGCTGGTGCCGAGGACTATGGGAGTGTCTCCCCTGGGAGGGGGAGCTGTGGGAGAAGGGAGGAGTGGGGAGACACTGAGGTCCTGAGGGCACAGGACCTCTGTGGGGTTCACACACCCTCTCAATGGCCACAGAGGTGAAGGGAAGTCAGAAGATGCGGGTGAGCTGGATTTCAGTGGCCTGTTGAAGAAGAGGTAAGCCTACCCCACCTGGCCTAGAGAGGGGAGATGGGACTCAAAGAGGAGAAGGATGGTGGGTGAGGCCACTGCCAGCTCTGGACTCCCCGTTTCCCCCTCTACAACCTCCTGTGTCTACCCATTCCCCACCCACCTGGCCATCTGTCCATCCACCTAGCCACCATTTACCTACACCTTTACCTACAACCGCACCCACTCAACCATCTGCCGGCCAGTTTACCTACCTACCGACCCTTCAATCCATCATCCTCACAGCCATTTTTCCTGTTCACTTAGGCTCTGATTCACTTGCACATCCCCCTGTTCACCCAGCCAAATACCCATCTATCCATTCTGGGGGGCAGGGGGGGGTCCACCCATCCACTCACCAATCTCATCCATCCATCCAACCAGCTACCTATGTATCCATTGACTAATCTAACCATTCACCTACCTGCCCATTTGCCCATTCATCTGCCCACATATCCATTCATCTACCCGCCATCTTCCCACCTGTCCCTCCACTCGTCTGCCATTACACTCAGCCACCCATTCAGGAACCCATTCATTCATCCGTCACCCACCCACCCCATAATCCCATTTCCTGCCTATGGAGGCACCATCTTCCACCTTTCCATCACCCATCTTGTCTATCATCCATCTTTCTTCCCACCTGTGTATCTGTCTGCACCTGCATCTCTCTCCCAACTGAATCCATTATCCCACGTGCCTACTGAGCCAGGCATTCCTTGATCAACTCTTCACCTCTTTAGTGACACACCCATCCAACCAGATAGCTCTCTCTTTGATTGATCTATATGAAATTGCTGTTCTTTAGGTAAAAATGATTGGATATTGGCAGTTTTATAGTGTTCAACATGAGGCTGGTCCGTTCTCTTGGTTATTCATTATCTGCTGGTCTACCCATCCATTCCTCTACTCATTCATCTATCCCCATAACCAAATCTACAACAATCCCATTACTGATAGATTCATCTCTTTGTCTTTACCCAGACAACCACCTGCCCGGCCATCTCCCCTCAACATATCCAATCAATTGCCTACCCAACCATTTGCCGCCAACTCATCAGTCCATCCACTCACCCAGTTATCCTCCATCTACCCATTCACCTATCTCCATGCCACCCATCCTCCACCTACCCACCCATCCATGGACCCACACATCCATCAC